TATGTTGTCTATAGATGACATTGAGGGCTTCTAGGTCTTATAGAAGACCTAGAGGTTCTATTGTCTATAGAAGACCTAGAGGTCCTATTGTCTATAGAACACCTTGATGTCTTCTATTGTCCATAGAAGACCTTGAAGTATTTTATTATCTATAGAAGACATTGAGGTTTTCTATTTTATCTATAAAATACCATGAGGTATTTTATATTGACTATAAAAGACGTTAATGTCTTAAATATTGTCTATAAAATACCTTGAGGTCTTCTATTGTTTATAGAAAGATTTAAAGTCTATGTTGTCTGTAGAAGACCTTGAAGTCCTTTATTATGTATAGAAGACATTTCGTTGTCTATTTAAGACCCTGAGATCTTCATATCAGGGTATTCAGATAGAATACCTAGTCATTTTGTTGAGAATTTGCCAGGAAAAAAGTTATTCGGTTGGCCACCACACCGGCCATGGTGATGGTGTGGGCCGCCATAACAGCCGATGGTCGCTCTCCGCTCGTATTAATCGACCGTGGCACCAGAATAAATGGCGAATATTATCGCGAAATTTTTCTGGAGGGTGTATTATTGCCTTGGTCACGAAAAATTTTGGACATTTCTACAGGACTCAGTACCATCATACTCAGCACGTGTCACCCGAGAATGGTTACAAAATAAGTTTCCTCGCCTCATTTCCAGCGCACCTCAAGCAAGCGCTTCGCCGGGAATGGGCCAAAATACCGCAGAGCAACATTCGGATAGTGTGTGACGGTTTCATTAACCGTTTGAAGGCCATAATTCCTGCCAAAGGTGACCAATTCGAACAAATCTAAACTTATTCTAAAATTTAATGCTATTTCCGACATTTTTTGCTTTCATTCAATAAAATTTAAAAAAAAAATCAAAATTATGACGTTTGACTTTGTTGCAGTTTTTTTTTTTATCTCACCCTGTAAAATGCCTAAGATTTATTATTTCTTATAGGAAACCTTTAAATCTTCTCGGTTTTATATAAATCACTATTCCCAAATTAAACATTGAATAGAAGTGGCAACTCTATTTGTCGCATCAAACTCTCATTACTTCCTACAACTCACCTCGAGATACAAAGACGATACAATCTTGGAGCGAGGGAAATGTGTCGTCACAAAACCAAGTGCAGTTATCTCTTCCCCATTCTCCCCAATAGAAACTCTCTATGCAATTGGGTGCACAATGACATTTTAGCATAATTTACTATTGAGTGCATTCTATATTTGCAAAAATGTAGAATGTACAGATATCAGAATGTATCCATAAGAGAGTGCATCTCTATATATCGTTTGCGACACACTCAAGATAGAGCAAGTTGTATCTATCTATGTTCCATACATCTGAGATGGTGGTTGCTCTTGGGCTCGTTTTGGTTGTAGGCATTTGACACAAAATAAATATAGAAATGTTTGAAAAAGTGTGTTCGTCGGCTCGAAGCTGCCGATTCACACTGTATGGGTATGTGGTTTGCATCGTAGCCTATATTTGTTCAAGTGCTAGTAGAACATAAAACATTTTTGCATCTTTGTGTATCTCATAGTGCTTACGGTTTTGGCATTTATAATTTGGAATGTTAGATTGGGGTTTCTCCACACCTACTTAACCAAAGAAATGGTTGCCATTAGTTTTTGTTGTTTTGATGCTTTTCTTCCGGTAGAGGCCAAAAGGGGATCAAGTGCCAAAATAGATTGTCTAATAAAATTGTTTGCCACAAGATAACGAGCAAACGTGATAGGAACATTTTGAAGAAGAGCTATCTTTATCTTAATATGCTTAAATATAAATTAGTGTTTCCTTGGTGACAGGTACTAGGGGGTGTCACAAATTAATTGTCTCTTTGAGTGGCTATATGTTCATTGTCTCTTAAGATAACCAAATCATTTTTATTCATGGAGAATATTTAATGCTGAAGCGAACCAACAAAAATCTACTAATTTTGCGTTTTTACCATTTCTTAAGTTTAAGTAATTTTTGAAAACTTTTTCATTTAAACAATATTTAGTCAATTGCGCAATGTTTTAGGTACGAAAATATTTGTATACATTTAAATGTAACAATAATTGATATGGCAATATATAAAGGTAATAATTTCATGTTCAATATATGAAATTTGGCATAGATGTTTATTCTAATTCTAAAACATCTTAGGGGCACCACAAACGTCTATGCCAAATTGCATTCATTGAACATGAAATTATTACTTTTATATTAATTTTACCGTCTTGCGTACCCTCAAGGCCGATATAAGGTAGGTCAAGAAGGTCAGTTTGAAGAAGTTTTTGCACTATTATGATTTCATTCTTTTTGAATTTCATCAAAATTATGTTTTTGACAACAAGCTTAGTTGTACCTTGCGTACCCTCAAGGCCGATATAAGGTCGGCCAAGAAGGCTACTATTGACAACAGTTTGAAGAAGTTTTTGCACTATTATGATTTCATTCTTTTTGAATTTCATCAAAATCATGTTTTTGACAACAAGCTTACGAACTTCAAATACAAACTTTGATGCAATTCCGGTGTATAATGTTGCGAAATTCCTTGAAATGCCAAATATCTCGGGGTAGCGTTATATGGTTACTATACTAAAACGTAGACCTATATAGACAATTCTCTTCCAGGGGGTAAAGTACTCAGACGGAACTTCTTGTATGGATTTGTAGACTATTCCATTGAAAATGTGCCTAAAATCATCAAAATACCGAATATCGGGGGGGTACTATTGTATGGAGGCTATACGATGTCCTGGACCTATATAGAAAATTCCCTTCCAGGGGATAAAGTACTCACAGAGAACTCATTGTGTAGAATTTCAGACAATTTCATTGAAAAAATGTGCCTAAAATAATGAAAATACCAAATATCGTGGGGTACCGTTATATGGGACCCATTCGATATCGTGGACCGATATAGCCCAATTTGACCTACCTGCACACAAAAGACTGATCTGTGCAAAATTTTAGCTTCTTATCATAATTCGTTTTGACTCTATCGTGATTAAAACAGACGGACGGACGGACAGGTCTTTGTTAGGTCTAAAATTATCATATCGATGAGTAACAAACGGAATAACGAACTTAATATTCTCTCCATATTATGTATGGTGGAGGGTATAAAAATGTAAAATAGTGGAAACTTTTTTAAATGGATAAGTGCTCCACAAAATCGACCGATATATCAAATTTTTATTAGGGTATCAACATTTGCCGTTTGTGACAGTGAGGTAAAACACTGAGTACGCCAATATAAATAAATATTGCCTAAAAATCATGAATTTAAACTATATTCTTGGGGACGAACCCGCGACCCGAGATTTTTGACTTGAAAGTCCGGGTTCAAAGCCAGGACTAGACCCGTATCATTGGAAAGCTTATGAACATACCTATCCAACAAGTGGTCACATGATGGGCCCATTATGGGGGTCAACCAAACTGATACCAAATTATTGCTAACACTCTTACCCTTTCAAAATGTTACAACTTGTGCTAATGTCTTTTCTGGGTCCAGAGATATGGGTCTTTCCACCCGCATAACCCGATTCTAACCAGTTCACTAAAATTATGTTTTCAATAAAAAAAGGTTTATTTCGCGTAGCCGGCGTTGGAATTACAAAAGTATTTAATTTAGAAAACTTTCGTTCGCGTTATCTGCTGTGGGACATACCCAGAGGAGAAAATCTCAAGCCCCGGGCGAAGGCCGCCTGCTTACAAGAAGTGTCAAATTTAGAAAAGTTTGGTTCGCGTTAGCCGCTGTGGGCATATCCAGAGGAGAAAATCTCAAGAACCGAACGAAGGCCGCCTATTCAAATGTAGAAAAGTTTAGTTCGCGTTAGCCGGTGTGGGAGATACTCAGAGGAGAAAATCTCAAGCCCCGGCCAAGGGCCGTCAACATACGACAACTGCTAAATTTAGAAAAACGTTAGTTCACGTAGCCGGGTCTTGAACCCGGACCTTCGGGCAAAAAAATCTGGGGGCCGGGTCCGTCTCCCAAGAAAAAAATAGTTTCCCGGAATCAGGATAAAAGTACCTAATTTTGGAAAAAACTTCGAAAAAATCAAACATTTTTTACTAAACTAGAGTTGTTCCGTATGTTCTAAAACTCATCTTATCTGGGCATATATTCCGCTTTGGTGCATAATAAAATTGAAATCGGATGAGCTATATCTACATCTGGCCAAATATCACAATCTTCAATAATATACGTGATTTGGAGACTTCTCGAACAAGTACGGTACTAATTACAAACTTCAAATGAGTACAAATTTCGTTGAAAAATCGTCCAAGTAGCCATAATTTGTCACAATAGTTGTGAACAGTGTATGTAAGAATGTTTTCTGTGCGATGGGAAAGAAAACCAACTACTAAGAATGGCTAAAACCCGCAAAACACAACGGACCTAAAATACAGATTGACTGACTTAATCGACACAGAATTATGTTCTGAATATATATTTTGTGGGGTCTAAACCCCTTTTTGCAGGCTAATAAACACCTCTAATTACCGATTTCACACTTTAAGTGCACAAAATTAGTGATAAAATTCCTATAGCTTGATATGATCCAACAAAGTTATGTGTATGCGGATTTTTAGTTCTATCCGTACTAATCTAATCAAACAAACAATCTTTTGGATGCCAAACTCAACCGAGCCCATATTGGACATTCCGAGGACTTAGGAAGAATGTGGATATTCGTTTTTCTATGTATTCTATGTTGCATATTAGGTTAACAAATGGACTAACCGAGTAGTAAAAACGTTGGCACCTGCTTATTTTCAGGAATATATATCCCTTGCAGGTTTATTACGTAGGGCCCAAAATAATTCAACCACAATAAAATGGAAAAAATTCGGAAAACGGATCACCACATATAACTTCTTAAAGCACATCTTTAAAAAAAACATGTTTTTGCATTCAGAGCATCCTCTTAATAGGTACCTGATGAAAAAACCGGCAGCAAATACACACTTGATCTATATACTTACTATTTCAACAATGCATCTTTAAGTGCAAGTGAGCTACACACTCCCCAAACTTGATTATTCTTAAGCAGGCTTTGGAGATGTTGGGACTTTAAAATTCCCCTCTAACTTCATGCAGAAACAAATACACACAAAACTCATTAAACAATTGTCTCGTTTAAGTAGAAACAAACACGATAATTTAACTTTTTTCAATTGTTATTTCCTCTGTAGCTTTTGCACACACTCTCTTGTGCTTAAAAACAATATTTTTGTTTTGTTTATTTCTTATTTGTATAACAAAATGCTACAGAACTCTATGGGCGTAGATTTATGAATTTGCTTTGTTATTGTCAAAATTGTCACAATATATCACTGATGCAACTTGTTTGCAAATTGTTTAATACTTGATCGATTTTATGGGATTTGCAAATTATTACAAATGTTTTTTACAATTAAAAAATAGTTTTTGTTCAACCCGCAACAAAAACTAACTCTCTCTCACACACCTTTTTAACAAAGTGACATTTAGGGTTATATAGATCGATTTCAGTGTTATTGATTAATCGATATTTTAAAATATATTTGTTTCGATTATGTTTTTTCAGTTAAAACAATTTAGCAGAATGAAGGCTTTGGGGCATTCAATGCATACATGCAATGTACTCATTGCAATTTTAATCACGTTGTTCGTTCTCAGAATTAGGTACACCAATTGACCCGTTCATACAGCACGATTCGTAATTCATAGTAACATAATTCCATTTTTCAAAATGTTTGTCGATTTTAATGGGCATTTGTATGAAAACATATGAAATTCACATTAATATGAATAGAAGAAATTATTATTTTTCCTCTAAAGTGCTATTTTATCATTTTTTCAACATTCATTCATGTTTTGACCCTTTTCTGCAAATGTTGACATGTTGAATACATTTTTGTGTGTGTTTCTGCTTTTTATTTTTGTTGGAGAGAAATTTGTCAATCTATTTTTTGTCGATACAAAATTTTCGAAAATAGTGCCCCTTTTGCTGGCAGCTTTCTGCAGATATTTCAACTCTTGGACAAAAAGCGTACCTCGAATGAGGGAGAGAACAAAATTTACTTTAGTTTGAATGTTCATACGCCATTCAACATTATATTTTTCAATCATAATTTTCAGTCTTCCTGAAAAATTTGAAAATTATATAAAATTTTTCTATTTTGAATTTTTATATGTCAATATTTATTTTTTCGATAAATTCTCTCATTTTTTAGGGTGGCACACATTTCATCTTAGTTCTGTAAGTGATTTGAATGGAATAAAGAAAAAAATCTTTGTTCGCTCAGCAAATTTTTTGTGGGGAATTACGAAGATATTTAATAATTAATGATCGAACAACGAATAGAGAGCGAATTAGGTACCATGTGAACTTAGCATAATTTTCAATTTTCTTGTGTAAAATTAAAGAAATACAGCTCTGAGGCTATGCCCGCTTCCTGTCAGAATTGTTCAAACTCATATCCAACAAGTTGTTTTCATTTATTTGATATTTTTTATTCACTTTTAAAATTAGTTAAACAGCACGAAAGATGAATGAAATGCCTGGCCCATGGTAGAAAAATATAGGTAGACGCATCGACACAGCTGCTGTCAAACTGTCAAACCAAATTTGGAATTGAAAATGTTGAATGAAAAATTAATTAAATTTGTAAAAATTGTTGAATAATGCCATGTTTACGTTTGAACTTTTTGTAGGGTTAACCTACTTTGAGAGGATTTATTTGAAGTAAAAGTAATGGATATGCCAATTTAAATCCAAATCCAGTGGGTTAACCCTCATATATATAAACGTACTTTAACGCGTATTATAATAACCTCCAAATGACGTCGTATAAGAAAACAAGTAAAAATCTACTTATATTTGAAAAGACATTAAAAATTTTTTGACATATCAATGTCCCCAAGCGTTGATGCATCTACCTGTATTTTTCTACCATGGCCTGGATGTTCTCTCAAATATATGATCCTTTCAATTTCGTGGCAAACCTGGGTATCATCATTAATCTGCGCCCCGCAATTTAAGTTTCTTCCAATCATTGATTTTGAAAATATTTCGTTTTTATTTTTTAAAACAATAAATACATACACAAAATTGGCATAAGTTGGGCACACTTAGAAAAAAATTGTAATCAGCTGGTAGCTCTACCTTACCTTTTTATTGTACTAAACATTTAAGGGAAAACTAAACATTTAAGGGAAGGATATAAAAGCGTTGAAATTAAACATTCTTGATTTATTTGTTTTGCATTTTTATTTAAAAATCCAAATTCCAAAAATGCGGAACTAAAATATTTCATTGGAAAATAATTGTTTAGTTTACATTTTTGGACATATAAGAGCTGTTCCAGAACCTGCAACAATCTCCTAGTTTTGCATTTTTTTCGATAGCATAAAGGGAAAATCGGTTATCTTAGTAAAAATTTGTACATTCTTGTGTTCTGGAACAGACCAATAACTCGGACATTAGCATTTCTTACAACAATAATTTTCTATGTGGTTTTTGTTGAATTCTAACATGTAAGTTCTTCCAATTATATTATGCTGCTCATTTATTTCTTACAAGATTTGTGCAAAGAAAATTTTACGCTCTCTACAGAAATTATTATTATGAAATTGCATCATTGCATATTTGTCATGTTGCTGTGCCACACAAGTAATTGAACGCCTTTCATTTAGGTTGGCATTACTGTAAATGACAAAGTAGGACAGAGTGCATAGAATTCAAAAAGACAAAATTTTGCGGGCAGTGATCTTCGTTGCGGACCGATATTCAACAAGCTAAGGAAAAATGTCATCCAAAGGACGTGGTAGTTTTCTAAGCCTTTTAGAACAAACAGCTTTGTCAACGGAATCATCCAGCGATGCCCTATCCGGTAAATCAACAAAAGACAGTGGCTTGGGATCAAATTCACCAATTTCTTTGGGAGAATATCGGCGCTTGGGTAGAGGAAAATTGATTGATGAGCTGGCGTCATCATGCTCGAATTTGTCTTTAGGCGGTCGTGGCCGCAGTAAATTCCTCGAAGATACGCAGTCGCTAACGGGATCTTTAAATGTTACGGGTGGTGGTGGTGGGGGTGGCAGTAGCATTGGCGGAGGCAGTAGCGGTGGGAGTGGTAGAGGTCGTGCCTTGTTATTTCAGAAGTTACAACAACTTGAGACCACTGGAATAACAACAACTTCTGAAGAGGTAGAACAACCAGAAGTTCAAAGTCATGGTAATACTACTTTGGCTACGTCGGAAGAAAAGGACCCCACTGGCGCCAGAGAAACAGATGTATCAACATTTTTCAAAAGCGTTAAGACAACACATGGCAGCAAGGGACATCCCGTTAGATTGGCTTGCAATTACATACGCTTGCATTCAGATCCCGACAAAGGAGTGTTTGTGTACGAGGTACGTTTTACACCGAATGTTGATTCAACACATTTGCGCATGAAATATTTGAATGAACATCGTGACAAATTTGGCGGAGTTAAGACTTTTGATGGCGTAACTCTCTACTTGCCCATACTATTACCAAATAAATTGACTACATATGTTTCGAAGAGTGCAGCGGATAATTCTGAAATTGAAATACGCGTCATGTTCAAGCGTAAGGAGACGCTGAAGAACTGTATTCATCTATACAACGTCCTGTTCGACCGAGTGATGAAAACTTTGAATTATGTACGCTTTGATAGGAAGCAATTTGATCCTACCTCACCCAAGATTATACCGCAACAAAAATTAGAAGTTTGGCCCGGATATGTAACGGCTGTGGACGAGTATGAGGGTGGTCTTATGTTGTGTTGTGATGTCTCGCACAGACTTTTGTGTCAAAAGACCGTACTCGATATGATGATTGATATTCATAAAAGTAATCCGTCCTGTTTCCAAGAGTCCGTCAAGAAGTCGTTGTTGGGGAGCGTTGTAATAACTCGCTACAACAATCGAACATATCGAATTGATGATATATGTTTCGATAAGAATCCTATGTCCACATTCCCCACTAAGGAGGGAAATATATCATACTATGATTACTACATAAAGCATCACAATATCAATATAAAGGACAAGAGTCAGCCGTTGCTGTTAAGCATAAAGAAACAACGTCATGCCAATAGTGACCAAAGTGAGGACATTGTTTTCTGTTTGGTACCAGAAATTTGCTTCCTGACTGGCCTCCGTGATGAAATGCGTTCGGATTTCAGACTGATGCGTGAAATTGCCACATTTACTCGTATTTCGCCAAATCAACGTTTGCAAGCATTGGAAAAATTCTACACCAATATAAATAATTCACCCGAAGCCAGACAAATACTCAAAGATTGGGGTCTGTCCCTTAAGCAATCATATGAGACTGTAGCAGGTCGGCTCTTCGAAGAAGAAAAAATATATTTTAAAAACAAGGTATTTGGTGCTGGGGCCAACGCCGATTTCAGCAAATATGCAACAAGCAATGAACTGTTGGATGTCATCAACATAAATAATTGGGTCCTGCTCCATTGTAGAAATGATGACAAAGTTGTTCAATCTTTTCTAGATCATGTGGAGAAGTGTACACGATCCTTTGGCATGAAGGTGTTAAAACCGAAAGTTGTAGTTCTACCCAGCGATCGTGTAGATGCATTCGTTAATGGTCTCAGAGAGAACATTAAGAAGGAAACACAAATAGTGGTCTGCATATCGCCGACCAATCGTGAGGATCGTTATTCAGCCATTAAGAAAATTTGCTGTGCGGAAATACCCGTACCGTCTCAAGTAATAAATGCTCGGACCCTGAGTAATGAGGCCAAAAATCGTTCGATTGTACAAAAAATTATATTGCAAATGAATTGTAAACTTGGTGGCTCATTGTGGTCTGTGAAAATTCCCTTCCGCAATGTAATGATATGTGGCATTGATTCGTATCATGATGCTGCCCAGAAGGGAAATTCCGTTGCTGCATTTGTGGCCTCCCTGAACGAAACCTATTCGAAATGGTATAGCAAGGCTGTTATTCAGACCAAAAGGGAAGAAATTGTAAGTGGCCTGTGTTCTTCATTTATATCGGCCCTATCGGCGTACCACAAAGAGAATGGTGTGTATCCGGATAACGTTATCATATATCGTGACGGTGTTGGTGATGGCCAGTTGTCATTATGTGAAAACTATGAAATTCCCCAATTCGAACAAGCCAGCATGAAAATATTGAAACATCCCATCAAAATTACTTTTATTGTTACACAGAAACGTATCAATACCCGTTACTTTTCCGCAAATGGTGGCAGTAACATACAAAATCCTGCACCTGGCACAGTCGTGGATTCGAACATTACCCGATCGAATTACTACGATTTCTTTTTGGTTTCACAGGCAGTTCGCCAGGGTACTGTTTCACCCAGCCATTATATTGTGTTACGTGACGATGCCTCCTACAGTCCGGATATTCTGCAGCGCTTGAGCTATAAGCTATGTTTCATGTATTATAATTGGCCCGGTACCATACGTATACCAGCATGCTGTCAGTATGCCCACAAAATGGCATATCTAGTTGGTCAGAATATACGCCGAGCTCCAGCTGAAGAATTATCGAATAAGTTGTTCTATCTATAAACTAATCAAAGTTTGTTATTAAAATTGAATTGTTTTTTGTGTTCTCTCTTTTTTACGTATTCAACAAATTTCTCATTTTTTCTTTTATTTTTACTAACTTACATGGAAATCAGTACAAAATCGTATATTTATGAAATATATGATCCTAGTTGCCCTAAGCACCCACGACTTAATTTTAGTGTTTGCAATGAAATGAATTAAATAAATATACCAAATACTAGTTTTGTTTACTTTTTATAAATACAATTGTGTTTTTCATTGTTATGGCAAGTGTTATGACTCCATGTGTTCCTACATCACTATTTGGTGATTCATAAATTTGAAATTCGATGAAACATACGCATGGAGGCTATATCTAATTTTGTGGTATAAAACTGAAATTGAGGGTAGCGGGATTATAAAAGCTATCTACTTTTTTTTGCAATATTCATATACATTCCATCGTTCTGAACAAGATAGATTTACCATGAAACAGACTAGAAATAAAAGAGGTAAGTGAAAAACAAACGTCTAACATTGTATTTATATCATAGGATATTTAGCACATTAACTATAAGACATGTGTTTGGAAAAGTATCATGATATAAGAATACAGGTAGTCGCATAGTCACAGCTGCTGGGACAATAAACTGTCTAACCAATATCTAACCATATCAATGTTCCCAAGCGTTGATGCATCTACCTTTATGGTTCTACCATGATATGTATTAAGAACATGAAGTGTGTCCACCTCCAAATTCATTTGGTTCTGTGACCAAGCATAGGAGAGTGGTGTAAGACTTATTTTATTGTTATTAAAATTATTAACAACTATACTCTCAGTCGAACGGCCACCAAGACTATTATCCATATATGGATTGTCAATATTTAGGCCGAAATTGAAAGTTGTTAGTAGATCTAACTCTCATTCTTCGAGAACCCAAAATTCCAAATGACTGCTTATTCCCTTGGAATTTGTTGAATTTTGTATTTACGGAATAAGTAATTTACATTATGATTTTTCTACATTGACGTTCCACTGTGCCAATTATGTATAAAACCTTCAATAGGGCTATCTGCCCGTCCAATTGCTCTGAAAACGATTCATCGAGTAAGATGAAATTCCATCTATGCCTAAATAAAAAAACTTGATTTACAAAATATGTTTTATGAATTGTTTTTTTTACTAAATGAAAAATAAAACACAATGGATTCGGAACTTATTACACATCTCAAAGATTTCAAATGAGGGAAAGAAATGTAATGGCTGTGGAATTAGAAAAGAACTTAATAAAATAAACTAATCTTCTCGGCATGGCATGTTTCTATACAACACGTTTCACTTCGAAGAAGCGTTTCAAATAATACACTTGACCGACTGTCATTAGTACCAAAACTAAGGCTTCAAATGTAGACCATAAGACGACACGCGAATTTGTGCTTTCGTTGATGGAACGATGGATTTTGTCACGAACCTGAAATTGGCACAAAATAAAACGACAGTTACATGATGACTAAATAAAATCAAATGCGTTTCCTAAACTTACATGCATATACTCTTGTTCATGTTTGACACTGGTTAAAGTACCCGACAATTCACGAATCATGTCCTCCAATTTTGTATGACCAACTTCATCTTCGCCGGGTGCGCCTGGAGCACGATGTGGTGATTCACCAACATCAATCGAGAACATAACCATTTTAGGTGTCATGCTGCTCTTGGAGTTGTCGAAGCATACTGTATAAACACCCGTTGTAACAGCGGCAAATGTCAATCTGCTGGATGATTCTTTGACGCTTTGATGCATTATGCTGTTGTCGGGTCCGGTCACTTTAATGTCGATATCCAAGAAACCTCCATCAATGACTTCAAATGTTACACCTAAAATGCAAATAAAATGATTGCGATTAGTAATTCTATGCCGCAAGGTATTCAAGCTTTTTTTTTGCTTACTAAATTTAGTTCCAGCTTCGATTTTCTCGAAAAAACATTCTTCGTTATGGGCATCGACATTCACAACGAAAGCCTGTGAGCTGTACATCATTTGCATTAGAGCAAATATTGTTATTAACAGCGATAGTTTCCTCATTTTATTGAATTTTTACTGCACTACTTGGAATTAAATACAAATAATAAGATTTTTCCTTTCCCGACAAATAGCTATTAGCTCAGCCACGTATATTATTGTCACTTTGGTAGGGATATGTAAGTCGACAATCGACTAATTGACGTATATGTTAACACAAAATCAAAATATCGATTTTCGCAACATTTTAGCGGGCCCGTGGTGGTGTAAGCTTAAGTTCTCTGTAATTATTTAAATAACTGATTTTATCTTATGTTGCCGTTGATTAAAATGGAATAGAACGTAATACATATTTCTGAACAACCACATTCTGATTGGTTTTATAATTCTCAAGCTGCTTAATGTCAGTAAGTGTGAAAGTTATCGATAACTGTTTTCTTTTCTTTGCTTATGTTATGTTCCGACCAACACAGTTGTTAACTTTTAAATCGCCTTTTGCATGTAAAGGGTGATTTTTTTGAGGTTAGGATTTTCATGCATTAGTATTTGACAGATCACGTGGGATTTCAGACATGGTGTCAAAGAGAAAGATGCTCAGTATGCTTTGACATTTCATCATGAATAGACTTCTCATCTGCCACAACGTCGAATTTTCAGTGAATGGGCCCTAGAAAAGTTGGCAGAAAATCCACTTTTTTATCGACAAATTTTGTTCAGCGATGAGGCTCATTTCTGGTTGAATGGCTACGTAAATAAGCAAAATTGCCGCATTTGGAGTGAAGAGCAACCAGAAGCCGTTCAAGAACTGCCCATGCATCCCGAAAAATGCACTGTTTGGTGTGGTTTGTACGCTGGTGGAATCATTGGACCGTATTTTTTCAAAGATTCTGTTGGACGCAACGTTACGGTGAATGGCGATCGCTATCGTTCGATGCTAACAAACTTTTTGTTGCCAAAAATGGAAGAACTGAACTTGGTTGACATGTGGTGTCAACAAGATGGCGCTACATGCCACACAGCTCGCGATTCTATGGCCATTTTGAGGGAGAACTTCGGAGAACAATTCATCTCAAGAAATGGACCGGTAAGTTGGCCACCAAGATCATGCGATTTGACGCCTTTAGACTATTTTTTGTGGGGCTACTTCAAGTCTAAAGTCTACAGAAATAAGCCAGCAACTATTCCAGCTTTGGAAGACAACATTTCCGAAGAAATTCGGGCTATTCCGGCCGAAATGCTCGAAAAAGTTGCCCAAAATTAGACTTTCCGAATGGACCACATAAGACGCAGCCGCGGTCAACATTTAAATGAAATTATCTTCAAAAAGTAAATGTCATGGACCAATCTAACGTTTCAAATAAAGAACCGATGAGATTTTGCAAATTTTATGCGTTTTTTTTAAAAAAAAGTTATCAAGCTCTTAACAAATCACTCTTTATATGTTTGGTGTGTTATTGAACTGCAAGGCTGTGAGGTGCCCTGTAGACGGTCAAAATTCATGACATCAAAATCGTGTACGTGTGCGTAAAGCTTTCAGCGCACACGGCTCATACATAGAAATGTTCACTAACACCACAAATTTACATGTCATGCATTTTGACCGGGCACTTAAACATTTTTAGTACCATAACCGATTGCTAAACTATTAGATCCTTGCAGGTTCTAGAATATAGCAATTGATTTTAAAAGTAACCGATTTTTTGGAGGTAGGGACAAAAATAGTTAGAGAATCCCACCACTGGTAACAATCAAAGGTCGAAAAATGCGAAACTATTTGATTCTTTAATTTTTTGGTAAGTCTGAATTAACCAATAAATTCTGATGCAAAGGATAAAATTATGTATAACTTCTATTTTAGAATTTCATTTAATAAACATGTTTTTTCAAATGTATTCGTGATGTCAAAAAGATTAAAAAAAAAAAACTACATAAACGGTTAACACATTCTTTAGCAATAGGAATATTAATTCGCTCAATGTTGATTTCTCATTTTTTTTTGTCTGTGCGTTTATTTTGGTATTGTCCAAAGGTGTAGAAATGTATTTTATTTTGGATGTGATCTGCAACTTTTGCAAAATATACAGTAAAACATCAACTGTGTATTGCATCCTTTTCTATGTGAAAAGACAATGTCAGTTTCGTGCAATTTTTCTCTCGAATCCAAAAAAGCAATAGAGTCTTTTGAATAGACCATCTTCGGCTAGCCGTTTGATTATTAAACTCAATCTATGCGGCTCTCTTCAGAGTTAGGGGAACTATGAAAACAACGAACTCATTTAGTTCTTTCGTCGCGTCCTTAATGTGTACATCTAGTGCTCGCTGAATTTCCTACTTAATACTTTAGAAGAAAACAAGCAAACTATATAATTTTTTTTAAAACTTCTAAAAACTTGAAGTAATTAAAAATACTTATATATCGTAAAATAATGCATTATTTTGCAACGAAACGTGAAGTTTGTGTCAACAAGATGCGCGTTCGATTAAAAAACACGAATCCCTGTTCCGTTATTGTTGCGCGTGTGAAAGAGTAAAACAAATACATACATTTCGTGTGAAAGCTTCGGTATTAAACATTTTTCGTTTCCGCGTGCGTGTTCGGGTTCTATAAGTGTGTTTTTGCAGTTTTGTAGTGTTCTCCGTGTGCATGTTGGAATTAGTTTTTGTTGTTGTGGACTGAAGTGGTAAATGTGTGCTTTTCACAAAACAAAGTTGTAATCAATTAGCTTAGACTGAAACCAATATTCTGACAACTTATTGTGATATTTTCAAGCAGTTGGAAAAACAATGCTACAATAAAAGCTTTTGTGAATTAATAAATTGTAGGTGTGTCTGGTTACCCTAAAATTTGTAACAATTGTTACAAATTGTTACTGGAAGTCGTCTGTTAACCCGAAAGTTCTGCAAAAGAGAGCGGTTAGAGAGAGGAATTTTGACAGTTCTTTCAGTGAGAGTTTGCAAATTCTTGCTGGACAAATTTCTTCTTGCAATCTCTTGCAACTCTTCTTCTTCTCATTCATCGACATTCAATCAGATGTTTTCTATTGTTTGTTTATTTCTTTTTGTGCTTTCAATTTGAAAATATTTTTTTGGAATTAGCAAGACTAATTGTTTTTCTAGAATAACTTTACAAAATGTGAAAAACTTAAATATTAATATGTAATAAGAAAAATAAATGACTATTTCCAATACTTTTTATACAAACGCCATTAGCAACACGTTTAAAGGATTCTAGAGAACGCATCAAACCTATCTTTCTTTAATTGCTCATATTTTTATTTTATTTCTAATTTCCTTTTATTTATAAAACTTGTAAAATTGGTGGTGCTTCCTTTCTTTTAATTCTTTTTATGGGGGACAAATTAGTTTGTTTTGACAAATCAGCTGATTAGTTGCAAGCCTCTGCAGGAATACCGTCTGTTTACTTTTCGCATTTTCCTTGCAAAAGAGAATAAAACTACCTTACTCTCTCAGAAAGATGTTGCTGGACAATTCCTGCAGGAAAAGTAACCAGACACACCTTGTGTTTCCATACAAATCGTGACATTTTGTCGATAGTTAATCGTTCGGCCGTTCAAAATTCAATTTTTTTATAAACTAGCAAAAATTATAAACTATTAAAAATTATTGCTCGCTACGAGAAGTCTATGTGTATATATTTGTCGGGTATATTGGAAGACTGAGAAACAATTTTGTATCCCGTCTAAATACAAAATGGTAAGTTAGTACATTCATTTACTTATATCGTTTTTCAAATTGCAATCTTCTTTTTTGCTTCAGTGTTAAATTGCTTTTCCTTTTCATTTGTTATTAATATCACAAAATAGTATACTTGACATTTTCAGTTAAGGTGACAATGGATAAAACGCTTTTTTTTGGCTACCTTAAGTCATCGACTGGCGTCTTCGGAAAATAACAAAGGAGCGTAGTGCCAAAATCGAACTAAGTCAACCTAAAACTCCTTTGTCCCTCTACAAAGAAGCCAGCCGACGACTTAAGCCTATTAAGAAAGCGTTTTATGTATTCTTACCTTTACATTTGCCCTAAGTTGAGACAGGCACCAATTTGGGATATTCCTACGTTAAGCGTACAAATAGTAAAAAAATTTTCCAACAGTTGAAAATTATTGAAAATTGTGTGCCTTTGTGAGTGAGGTACTAGAAGGGGTTTACAGATTTGTATCATCTGGACAACAGATATTGTATAAGCAAAAATGTTTGTATGTGTGAAATTTGAAGTTTTTTCGGCCGTTTTGTTTTTTAAAATCTTAAACCCCACGGAGGTACTATAAGAAATGATCCGATATCTACCATCTTTATAACCAATCATGTGTTGATTGAAATATTGAGATTTACAAAGTCTGAATGGAATCGGATGTTAATTTCGCTTTTTATGAGCTTCATGGGTATTCAACATTTTGAGCCTTTGTGGAGTTATAATTATTCAAAATTTAAACCCTTTGTGGGGGGAGATACTTGATGGAGTGTACCGATATTGTCCATTTTCGCACCTGCCCTAGCACTGATGCAAATATTAGTATCGGCAAAGTTGGAGCAAAATCGGATTTTCCTTTCTCTTTCTGTGCAGTGAATTATTTTCTTTGAAAATGTTGATATTTTGTGAGGGAGGTACCAGAAGGAGAGGACCGATATTGCCCATATCCGTATTCGGAGAACAAAACTTCATAAATCGTATTAATTTTTCAAGGTTTATATATTATTTATGTTTTTTCGTTTTCGGACAGATGTTTTGATGCTTACCGAAGAGGATATTAGTAAAATCATTGCACAATGGACCCACATCCAACTTTTCTATCTAAAACTATTGCAACGTCTCCATATGTGTATCTTAGAAGCCAGCAGTGACTTCAATATCAAATTTTAGAATTTCAGCTTTATCCCTTCACCCAATACATTTAGTATGCATCAGTGACATCCAAATCAAAATGCAGCTGTCATCCTTCACCCAGTATCAATTTTAATAATTTTCGTCGAACTATAGTACACATTTCCAAATCCGCCTCCAAATCTCAACATCAGATACCAATAATTCTCTAAATTTCAAATTTAAGAATTTTATACCTATCCCTTCGCCCCAGACCAAATTTAGTACTTTTCATACCATTACAATGCACAATTCCAAAACCACGTCCATATGTTAAGGCTTCACATGAACAACGACCCTAAAACAAAATTTCAAACTACAAGCACTATCTGTTCACCCAATATTAAACTTAGTACCATTTAGTACTTTTCGTTCAAATATAGGATGCATTTCCAAACCACAGCAAAATATTTAACACAAAACCTAAACATCCAATTTTAGAATATTATTTATATCCCTTCGCCCAATATCAAATATAGTCACATTCTGTACTTTTCGTAGAAATATAGTACACATCTCCGAAACCACAACATTATATATCCAGCCTACACATGAGCAGCGACCCTAATATCAAATTTTAGATTTCAAGCACTATCTGTTCAACCAATCCTAATTTCTACCAAATATAGTACAACTTAGTACTTTTCGTGCATTTGTAGTACACATTTTCAAAATCACCAGTTTATCACAAACCTACCAACAATACAAAATATCAAAATTCCAACTTCATTCATTCACTCCAAACAAAATTGTTCCAAAGTTATTACGCATTTTCAAAATCACCTTCGTTTATTAATGATTTAAATTTTTGATATACCCGTTCACATAATGACATCAATTTAGAAGTTTAGTATCATTTTAAAACTTTTCATAACATTAAAGTTCGAATTTCCAAAACCCTTTGGTACATCAATCCAGCACTTCATCAGAGACTCTCATTCCAAATTTAGGAATTCTGGCTCATTCCGTTTGTCCAATACATAGTATTGAATTTTTGCTTAAGTTTAGTACATAGTTAAAATTTTATTAGCTCCCGTGGGACAACATTGTATATATAGATCCATATAACGGTACCTTACTCTATTCCTTATTTTGACGATTAGAGCCACACAAATGCAGGTCGCATTTATTATCCGATTAAGATGAAATTTTGCAAACAATATTTATTTGGCCCAAGGACGAACGCTATTGAAATTAGTGATAATCGGATCACACTTAGATATAGCTTCCATATATCTTCAACCGATTTCAGGTTAATTGAGCACTAGATGGCTAATATAAGTCAAAATGAGCTGTATTTTTGTACATCGAATTCAGTCTAGAAGCAAGTACATGAAATTTGGAGAAAATGGGTTCAGATGTAGTTATAGCCCCCATACATGTTTCATCCGGTTTGGGGCTTTAAGTCCCTCAAATTTGTAATATGCATTCGAAAACAATGATACTTGGTAACGAACATCAGATACTGCTCGAAAATATCTCTGTCAAATTTTATCGAGAGCGGTTCAGATTAGGATATAGCTCCATATATATCTTTATCCGATATCAGGTTTATTGTGCAACAAATGGCTAATATCAACCCAAATGGACTGAATTTTGGCAATTACGACTGAATTCATTCTATAAACCAGTACTTCAAATTTGGTGTAAATCGGTTCAGATATATATGTATATATATAGCTCCCATATATATGTGTTTTTTGATTTGGGATTTAAAGTCCCTCACAAACGTAATATGCATTCCACAACAATGATGTTTGGTACCAGATATCAGATACAGCTCTGAAATAAGTATATCAAATTTTGTCAATATCGGTTCCGATTTGGATTTAGCTCCCATATATATCCTCAACCGATTTCTGGTTAATTGTGCACAAAATGGCTAGTATAAGTCCTAATGACCTGAATTTTGACATATCCGGCCGACTGTACATTAAATGTAGTGAAAATCGGTTCAGATATAGCTCCCATATATATGTATCATCCGATTTGGTGTTTAAGTCCCTCAAATTCCTAATATGCATTCGATTTGGATTTAAGTCCCCCACATTCGTAATATGCATTCGACAACAATGATATTTGGCTAAATTGTATCAAAATCGGTTTAGATTTGGATATAGCTCCCACATATATCTTCAACCTATTTCCGTTTAATTGTGCACCAAATGCCAATATCTGTCCAAAAGTCCCATATATATCCTTAATCCGATTTCAGGTTTATTGTGCAAATAATATCAGCCCAAATGGAGTGAATTTCCGGACGTACGTTTCCATTCTGTGGAACTCGGCTGCGATATATGTTTTTTTTAGATAATCCTTCTCGAAGTGATATAATTCACTATATACCAACGTTATTTGGTATTAACGATTAAAATGTCTCCGTAAAAATTTAGTGAAAATCGATTCAGAATTGGATATGCTTTCGTCTGAAACCAAAATATAACTGTTCTACGTGGTATGATCTACTTTAAATAAATTCTTTTGTTACAGGAGCTCTACTGAATATGCACAGTGGTGTAGGGTATCATATAGTCGGCCCCGCCAGACTTTTGACTTTTCCTTACGTTTTACGTTTTGCAAGTTCCATCCAAATGGTGAAGGTTATTAAAAGTTCGGCCCATGCTTAACTTAGCCTCTTTTTTACTTGTTCCTATATTGACATTGCCCATGCTAGTGTACTAGTTTAAAACGTACCTTATATGTGCATATCAAACTTCCAAATGTAGTGATGTCCATTTAATACGTTGGCCACAATTCTAACAAAATAGTTTATACGAACCATTTGGGTAAATAATGGGATATTTACCCATCTTCTTTTATAACAAAATTTTAATGAAATAAGTAATAATTTTATTTCGAGAATTTTTTTATACAAAAACATTTTATTACAAAATTAACTATTTTATCTTTTGTCTTATACAACAATAAGGAAAATTATAATACACTGGTATGATACTGTATGTATATAAATGAAAAAATATATATGAAAGGAATATTATGATATGTATGTAAGTACTTTTTTCTAGAATTTACTATAAATTCGTGATAAATTAAATATACTATGAAATACTTAAAGATTACTCTTAGAGACTTATCACTAGTTGCTTTGCTTTCCTAATTTGTAGCTATCTTCTGCAATTTGAAGTAAAATTGCCGCTGTCGACGATCCTGTATGATCGACTAAGCTACGTAAAGCACCATCTCTTTTTTGCAATAACTCAAATGGATGTCCCAATTCGACGGCCTGACCGGCATCCATTACCAAAATACGATCGCAGTCCATAACTGTATGTAAACGATGGGCAATCGTTAAGACCGTACACTTGGAAAATTTAGTGCGTATTGTTTTTTGTATCAATTTATCCGTTCTGTAAAAGAAAACAATGAATTATTTAATTGTATGAAAGTGGTCAAGTTAATTTTGTTCATTAAACTAAATTTTGAAATAAATTCTAACGCTTGCAATGAACATATTGAAAAATATATTTGAATACTCACTCTGGGTCCACGTTTGCCGTTGCTTCGTCCATAATCAAGATTTTATTCTTTCGCAAAATTGATCTGGCCAAGCACACCAATTGCCGCTGACCCACACTGAAATTCGCGCCACCATCGTACATTGGACAATTGAGACCACCAATCAATGTTGAAACATGTCCCTTGAGTTCGACTTCACCCAAAACTGTCCAAATATCAGCATCACTGCATTGATTCAATGGATCCAAATTGTAACGCAAAGTTCCCGAAAATAAGACCGGATCTTGAGGTATTATAGATATGTTACTCCTCAAATCGTACAGGCCCAATTGGTCGATATTAATGCCATCAATGTATATTGCACCTTCGTTGTAGCCCAACCGGAACAGAGATTGAACAATTGACGATTTACCAGCACCAGTCCTGCCAACAATGCCAATTTTTTCATATGGCCGAGTGGCCATGTTTAAATTCTTCAAGACATAATTTCCCGTTGGGCTGTATTTAAATTTGAAATTCTCAAATTCAATACGTCCCTCGGTGGGCCATTCGCCTTTGGGTTTATTTTTCTCTTCGGTTTTCATTGATGCTTCTGGCGGTTGTTCGATATACTCCAGTACGCGCTCCACGCAAGTCATTTGATTTTCCAATTCGGCCGTTTGCCGCATTCCCCATTGGCACATTCCAATCATTGTTGTCGAATGTAAGATTGCCAGACCAACATCGCCACTGTTGAAGTGTGAACCCAATATAAGGAAACTGAATGTTACCACGCTTATGTAGAGCACACAAATTACATCCGTCCACAAGGCAAAGGCCCTTGCGCAGGAGATAAACAAAAACCAAGCTGATGTATTCGAATTTTGAAAGCCATGGAATTCTGTCTCCAAAGCCCGTTCTGCTTCTAAGGCTCTTATGGTGGAGAGTCCTTGGAATGTCTGGTTTGTGAGGGAATACACTGGACTGCGGGCTGGAAGAGAGAGCATTCATGTATATAAGTGAGATATTAATAAATTAACTTAATAGCCTCTACCATAAAATGGAGAGGGTATTAAATTTATCATTCTGTTTTCAACATCATGATTGGTTTGAAGATAAGAAAGATATTAAAAATAGACCTTCGAAAAACTTGCTCGAATTTGCACAATCACTCGAATTCGAGCGGGAGCACTCCTGGGAGCAGAAAAAAATAGAGTTAACTCAATTTTCGATGTAGCTTGAAGTGGAGGAGCTAAATTCGTTCAAAATCGAACTGATTCTACTCTTGCCAAGCGCCCATTTAGTTTTGGTCGTTTTTCTATGTATTTTTATTTTTTTTTCGTATTTTTTCTGTACATTAATCTGCATTATGCTGAGCAGCTGCTTTTTCCTTCCTCCTAGTGCAGCGCCGTTAGGCAGGCACGAATCCATCCTGTACCGAAGTGAAGTTTCCCCCCACGCGCCTGAAGATATTCCTGTATCAATAGATACCTTTGTGACCAGGCCTCCTCCCTCCGTACTTGAACCGACTTATCGCCGGTTGTCCGTACAGAGATTGGGATTCTGTTTTTAACATTATAAGCACACGTGCCTTGTCCACCGAAGGTGGCGTCACCCATGATGATAATATCCTCGTGCAGAGTATTTCCTTCAGGGATACAGACGCTATCGCGCTTCCCTTCCAAAGTTGGCGAAAGCCAGCTACTGCAGTTACAAGGAAGTTTTTAGATTCCTCGTTTTCGCAGCAGATGACCTTTACTCCTTTATAAAGGGTGGCACTGCCGAACTGTAGCCTCTTAGACACTGGGAAAACTAGCTCCTTCAGACGGTCCTCAATGAGCATCCACCGACTTTCACTGATTTTGCCTTCCGGCTTAGCAAGATCGGTGACTGCCACATGGAGGTTATCCGGGTAGACAGTTTGGGAAAATTTCCTTTTTCTGCTTCTCTGGCTCAATGGTTGGGTTTTGGTGGATACAGTTGTGGCTTTAGTAGACTTAGAATGGACCGAAGCTTTCTGAGCCACACCCACCACTACCTTCCCGCTGACGACGGGGGTAGACAACGTAGCTGGTGGAGGAGAGGTGGTTCCCTTTGAAGTTTTCTTCGCCTCAGTGTGTGGTTCCCCCGTTGACCGTCCCCTCTTCATCGTTGGATGAGATGAGGGATTGTTCTCATTTAGTTCCACCGAGGTCGCGGCTCCTTCGGGTTCCATCTCCTTTGCTCTTCTCCTCCCGCGCTTCTTTGTTTTTGTATCGGTGGTAGAAGCTTGGGCTTCCGTTGATGGTGCAACAGCTGGTGCTGTTATTCCAACAACTGGGATAGTGCTGACTTCTACACTGCCCTTTTCAGAAGGTTTGTCCCCAACTGGACTCGCCTTCTTGACAAGGTCGGTGAGGAGAGAGGTAAACTCCTTCTCAAGGAAACACTTTGACATAGCGGATGATTCTTTTCAAATTTGCGAATCGCTTTAAGGTTCGTCCTGATTAGGGGTTTTTCTCTCTACATAGTTTGTAAGGGGTCGTGGTCGAGGAACCTTACCGATCGTTTGTACCCCTTCTTACTCCCCCCCTTTAAGCTGGAGTCATCGCGGTTGTTACTGAAGTACATTTAAACATCGGTTAGTAAAGTACAATATACAGCTATGTGCTAAGTAGATTGTGAACTGTGTAAGGTAAACAATTAAAACCTACGGTCGTACTATTTGGTGTAAATCTTACTGGGAAATAAAACATGGTCTACACGGTTCGAGTTTAACCCGATATACGTAACACTATATATTCCATATACTCACATATTGATTCCAAACGCTTGACACTGCGACTTGTCATTGTATAAACAAAACGTAAGCCCACTAAACAAGTTAAGATAACACATGCCGGCAGCAGAAGCCAATAGTTGGCGATTGCCACAATAAGTACGACACCGGAAATATCGATGGCAAACTGAAATCACAACAAGATATAATAAAATATATAGTTCGAAGTAAGTATTTATTCAGACATTAACACTTACCGACAAACAATCCATTAGAGTGGGCGGCAAATCAGCATCAACTGTTCGAATATCTTTGGAGAATCGATTTAGAATTCGCCCCGATGGATTGGTATTAAAAAAGTACATGCTGGTACGAGTAATGCCACGAAATAGACGATCATGTAATTTGAGAGATATGCGCAGACACATAGTATAGAAACCAAATGTTCTCAGGGCAAAGACGATAACGGCCGATATCAGCATAACTGAATATATTATCATTCGGTTGTGTCGTTCATGATCCGCACCATCATCAAAATTTTGTGTTGTGTTCGTCTCCGAAGCATTCAAATAAGTATCAAGTTGCATGCGACCAACATTTTCCTCCCATACGACCCTTGAAGAAGAAGAAATAAATTATTCGATAAAACACAAAAGAACCGAGATCGAGGCTTTGTTGGTACAGATTGGCTACGATGATTATAATCGTTGTTGTATTTGTTTCGTTTGCAGCTGTGTGTTGTGAAAATACACATGCAAATAACACACCTGTTTAACAACAACTAAAAGAGTGCTCGAAAAGAGTAGAACCTGCTCGGTTACAAACGAATTCAAGTCACACTCAAAAACGAGCAATGAAAAATTGCTCTTATTCGAGTGACAGAGAAAAAGTGTAAACTGGGTGTATTTTTTTCTCACGCGAGTACTTCCGCAAGTTTCACTCTCTACTCAAAGAAGAATTCGATTTCGACGAGATTTGACAAAGATGTATGTGATATTTTAAACCAAATACCACCGTGATGGATCGAACCGGATGGAAAATATGAATGGGAACTATAGCTGTATCTGAAGATATGTTAATCAAATTTCAAAAACTAGGTGCTATAATAAATTCGGTAGTATGAGCCAAAATGCATTCTATTTGGTCAGATATTTTGATTTATACTACGAACTTCACTCTGCTACAATGCGAGGGGGCACACTCGTGAGTAAGAAAAAAATGAAATCGAAATCTATCTTTCTATGCCACTCGAATAAGAGTGAGTATGCTTTGCTCGTTTACAGGTAAGAGTGACATTCGTTAGAAATTGAGCAGCCACCGGCGCTTTGCTTCTGTTGATTGTCTTTCCCTGACTTTTGTACACGATGTGCACCAACCCTAACAACATCAAAACCTTTCCACTAAACACACAAATCATTTTTTCCACTCGATTTTACTCTTAATCTACTTCGAGCATTTCGGTGTTCACTCTTATCTAACTGAAGTACTCACGAACGCTCCCACATAAAACAGTAGGGGAGAAAGAGAAAACTCCACCCCGTTTGCGAGTATTTTAATTTTCATTCGCGAGTAAAATGTAGCAAATTAGAGCTCTGAATTCTATACAGATCTACAAACTAAGCTATCTTATTTCCTTCTGTATGTTACAAACAAGTACATAACCTGCACCATACTTAGGCTTAAAGTAAAAATATTCAATACTTACCATCTGGAAAGGAAGTAATCGACACCATTTAACATTACTCGGGCGCCTATGAAAAGCCCGAATATTAAGAACAACAAAAATGGACTCTCCAATGCCTTAAAGTAGGATAGATAGACACCTAATTTCACAGAACCAACAGCTTGCTGTTCTTTATTTTCATCATCTATGGGGGCTTCATCGGGACTCAACAGTGATTGGCTGGTTTCTGTGCCTGGCTGGTCCACAATCATTCCGCTATTAGGATCATTGATACTATTTGCATTTTCACTAGCTTTGCGGGTTTGGGCCAAATATTGAAATTGTTTAGATTTTCGCAATTGTCGATAACTACCCTGGGCTACAATGTTACCCGAACCCATAATCAGTAGATGCTGAACATCGAACAGATATTGCAGCTGGTGGGTGACCAAGACTCGTATTTTATCCGAAAGGAAGTCTCTTATGCACTTGCGGAATATATGTTTACCAACATTTGTGTCAACAGCTGATAAAGGGTCGTCTAGTAGATATATATCGGCCTTACGATAGATAGCTCTGGCTAAATTAATGCGAGCTTTTTGGCCCCCACTTAGGCTAGCACCTCTTTCGCCAATCATTGTTAAATCACCATGTGGCATTAGTTCCAGATCGCGTTTTAAGGCACACACCTCTAGGACTCGCTTATAACGCTGTTCATCAAACTCCTCCACAAATACCACATTGTCTCGTACGGTTCCCACAAAAACCCATGGTTCCTGAGAGCAATATGAGATTTTGCCATTGATGAACACATCGCCGGAATCGATTTGCACTTCACCCAACAGCAGATTGAGAAGTGTGGATTTTCCAGAGCCCACTGGTCCAACCACTGCAGCCAAGGAATTTTCTTGAATTTCACAATTCAAATGTTCAAGGGCTCGAATTCTGTAGCCCTCTGCAGTCTCCCACGAGGCATTTACATCCTGGAGTACAACGCTTTTGACAGGTGATTCAGCATTGACAATACGTCTAATCCGAGGGTGGTTTGACTTGGCCAATGGGACTTTTTCGGTATTTTCAACACAGTCAATGTCTTCAAATCTCTTTTTCTCGCTGTTGCCGTTCATTACGGATTTATTCGGCGTCTTCGCTTTCTTTTCCGAATGCATGGTTTCCTGTGCTAGATCACCATCTAATAGAAATTCTTTACACCTTCTAGCCGATACCAATGCTTCTGATAGATACTTTATAGCAAGTGGCCAAAAATGTACCATTGACTCGTTTAACATTGTAAAGTATGAGGAAACTGTGTAGACCCGCTTTGCCGTCAGGGTGTCACCCATATAAACGTACGATGCCAATGCCAAGAACAAAGACAGAGGGGAAATCATGGAAGAACAACTCAAAGTGGCATGGATGTACGAAGTACCACGAATGGCTTTCACCTCCTTTCGACGCACATCGGATACAATTTTGGCAAATGATTTCTCCCAGGCGTACATCTTTATCACCTGTATACCCTGGATTATTTCATTCATCAATTTCACTCTGAAGTCCGTCTGCTCTGCTGTTTTCTGGCGATAGTAGGCGGCATTTTTCGCAGCCCAACCTTGTAGCGGTATAAAACTCAGCATAAAAGCCACACCAATCACAGCCGAAAGGCCTACTTCGCGATACATTAAGTAACCAATTAGGAGAGATTCAGCTGGACCCTTCCACACGTCATGCAGGAAAGTCAGTGCCAAGTCGAAAGAGCCCAAATCATTTGACAGGATATTTATGGCTCTTGCTCGTATCTCATCGTTGGCAGCACTTTTTGAAAGTGACAAGCATTTACGGTACATAAGACCTGACAGAGCCAGGCGGATTTTTGAGCCGACTTGAAATAGATAGAATACGTAGGGATGCACCAATAGGACACGAACAATGGAACACAAAACGATACCAGCGGCAAATAAATAAGCGTTTTCTTTGCTTATCGAAGTTTGTCCAGTGGCGAAATATGCCACAAGTCCTCCCAAAAAGAGGGGTTGGAGAGCTCTGAAAGATACATAGTTATTAGTTTAAGGAGAATGTATGCTTTGTTCCAGAATCTTCAAGAAAGCAAAAATGTTACTGCTAACCGATTTTTCCTTTATTTTATCGAAAAAATGTCAAACTTCTGATTCTTGCAGGTTCTAGAACATAGCAACAATTCTTCTGTTCCAGAACTGCAAAAATGTAAAGTTTTCAAAACAATAGACGATTTTCACCTTACGATATCGAAAAAAAGCAAAACTAGTAAATTTTTGCAGGTTCTAGAACAGAGCAACAATGTTTACTTACTTTGACAATGATTCACAAATTGAAACAGGCACACCAAGTGGTATAAACACCGAACCGTAGGCTTTGACAATCATTCGAACAACACTGGGATTCTTTCGTTTCTTTTCCTCTTCCCACAGCTGGCTGAATTTCCCGGTAACCTTTTCACTATCTAAATTCTTGCGATGCTGATAGAGTTCTTCATCTTCCAAGGGCCCTTTTAGGCCACGTCGAAATAAGTCTCTCATCCACCTGAAAAAATGAGTAGGTATTAAAATTAACTGTCCATAGGCCTCCAAAATACAGGGTGAGATGAAAAAACCACAACCAACTTCAGACTGCTGCCATTTCTAAGCCACTCGTCCGACAGCTGTTAAAATTATTCCAGTGACAGCTCATTATATTGTTCACAAACATACAATAGCATTTTGGTGAGAGTTTTCCAGAAAAAAAGTTATTCGTGATAGAATTCAAGCGTGATAGTGTGATTTCTTTATATTTGGCTGGAAAACCACAAGTGGCGATCGTTAGAGCACTCCAGCATTTAAATGTGAATAAATCGTTTGTGTCCCGTACCATCGCTCGTTATCGTGATACTGTTACCCGACGTCAATGAAGTGGACGGAAGAAAACAGCAACATCAGCAGAAATGGTTCGAAAAGTAAAGAAGCGACTTGATCGAAACCCGCGTCGCAGTGGCCGAAAAATTGCTCGTGAGCTGAACATATCGCAATATTCCATTCGGCAAATATTGAAAAGTGAGCTCGAGGCAAAGCCATTGAAATTCCAAAAAGTGCAAGAACTTACACCGCAACAGAAGAAAATAGACTCAAAAGAGCTAAAGAGTTTCTACGCTTGGCCGAAAGTGGTGAACTGCCGAATTTGGTTTTCTCCGATGAGAAAACATTAGTTGTTCAGCAGCTTGTAAACAAACTAAATCATCGTGTTTACTTGCCAAAGAGGTCAGCTGAAAATGTGCACCTTGGTTTGGCCACCAGAACTCAAGCGCCGGCCATGGTGTGGACCGCTGGATCCTCGCTTCATTTCCGCGCACAATGGCCACAAAAAATTCCGGATACCAATCCGTTGGACTATTGTGTCTGGAGCAAGGTTGACACTAAAAAATACCAAAGTGTCGACCACCTCAAGCAAGCGCTTCGCCAAGAAATGGCGAAAATACCGCAGAGCAACATTCGGCAGCGTGTGATGGTTTCATTGGCCGTTTGAAGACCATAATTCGTGACAAAGGTGACCAATTCGAACAAATCTAAACTTATTCTTAAATTTGATTCTATTTCCTACATTTTTTGTAAAAATTATGGCGTCTGACTTTGTTGCAGTTTTTATCTCACCCTGTATTTTTTTGTTTGCAAAATATTTCTTCTTTAATTTTCAGATCTAAAAAAACTTCACATCAAAAAAAGTTGGCGCTGCAGGGTATGACATGAACAACCACGCCGGACTGTAGCTTTTGTTTACTTGTTATTATTTTTGCCCATACATATGGTAATGAAATTGGGAATTTTTTGCACGTTTCATATTTTGATAACCGGTATTTTCGAATAACATGTCTTATCTCATTCAATACACAACAATAGTGTGATTCACGTGAATTTGTTTGAGTATTGATTATAAGTCCGTTAGTTAGAAGAAACTAACTCTTTTATGTATGTTGGCGACCATTTTGTGAGAGGAGTGGTCACCAAAATGGAGGGCGTTTCAATTCCACCATTACAAAATAAAACCCACTTTTAATTTTGTTTATTTGTAGAAATTAAATGTTAGTAAACATGTTGAAAGTTCCTACCAGCTTTGTCTGGTAGAATGTGGTAAAACAGAAGATTAACAATTTTTGCGACAGCCGAAGCATGTTTTCGAATAATAAATGTTAGTAAACATTTTGAAAGTTTCAACCAGATTTGTCTGGAGGAATATGGTAAAACAGAAGATTAGGGATTTTTGCGACAGCCGAAAAACGCTTTTGGAATAACAAGTAGTAAATATTGTGAAACTAGTCGACTCTTGCCCTTTCTGGTACACATATATTGTTATGTTTATCATAAATGTTTAATTTATTACGTTTCGACATCTGGCCATATTGTACCTGCTGTTGTTATGCGACGACTAGAATGTTATTTGTACACCCCCTTATCGGAGTTAAATCTTCATATTAGAGTAGAGAGTATGTTTTTGTGTTCTTTATCTGCTGAAGCAGTCCAACGGGTTATTTGTTTATTCTTAATCGCATTTTGATTGTATGTAATTCACGGTCAACGTTATTGTTGCCAAGTCATTTAAACATAATTTTTGCAAATATTATTAGAAAATTGCAAAGTGTGTGCAATAGCCAAGGTCAATTGGTAACGGAAAAAAAAAACTCGAACTATTTCTCAGAATCGTACATTTTGGGCATACGATTCTTAGGAACAATTTTTTATATATGAGGATAATGTTTTAAAAAAATGAAAAATACCGATTGTTGTTGAGATGGTCCTTCAACTTAATTTCTTAATAATCCAAGATCGGTGTTAAAATTCTTGCTGCTAAGATGGTTCGAAAAGTAAGACTGTATGATAAAAATCCTTTTTTCAATAATTACAGAAAAATTTGCTAGAAAAAATAAAAAACAGAAGACGCGTTTTTAAAGGTAAATCGCAAAGTAACCTAAATAGATTCGTTGGAATCCTTGGATTTTAGGTATATTGAATGAAAGCAAAAAATGTCAGAAATACCATCAAATTCTAGAATAAGTTTAGATTTGTTCGAATTGGTCACCTTTGGCACGAATTATGGCCTTCAAACGACCAATAAAACCGTCACACGCTGCCCGAAGGTTGTTCTGCGGTATTTTGGCCCATTCCCGTCTAAGCGCTTACTTGAGGTGATCGACACTTTGGTACTTTTTAGTGCCAACCTTGCTTTCCAAAATACTCCAGACACAATAGTCCAACGGATTGAGGTCCAGAGATTTTGGTGGAAATGAAGCGAGGAACCTCATTTTGTAACCATTCTTGGGAGGCGTGTGCTGAGTGCGATGGTGCTGAGTCCTGTTGGAATGTCCAAACTATGCGGCCAAAATGTTTGCATACAGATTATTTTCGCGAAAATATTCGTCATTTATCGATTTATACAAGTGGAGAGCGACCATCGGCTGTTATGGCGGCCCACACCTTCACCATGGCCGGCGCTTAAGTTCTGGTGGCAACCGAAGGTGCACAATTTCAGCTTACCTCTTTGGCAAGTAAACACGTTCATTTTGTTTACAAACTGCTGGACAACGAATGTTTTTCATCGGAGAAAACCAAATTCGGCAGCTCACGACTTTTGGCCAAGCAAAACAACTCTTTTGCCGTTTTGAGTCTATTTTCTTTCTGTTGAGGTTTAAGTTCTTGCACTTTTTGGAATTTCAATGGCTTTACCCCGAGCTCATTTTTCAATATATGCTGGATGGAATATTGCGATATGTTCAGCTCACGAGCCATTTTTCGGCCACTGCGACGCGGCTTTCGATCAAGTCGCTTCTTTACTTTTCGTTTCGGATGTTGCTGTTTTCTTCCGTCCACTTCCTTGACGTCGGGCTAAGCCACCAGTATAATGGTACCGAGCGATGGTTCGAGACACAAAATATTTAATAACATTTAATTACTGGAGTGCTCTAACGATAGCCACTTGTGGTTTTCCAGCCAAATATAAAGAAATCACACTATCACACTCCACTATCATTCCAACAGGAATAACTTTTTTTCTGGAAAGTTTTCACCAATTCTTTTGTACGCTTGTAAACAATAAAATAAGCTGTCACTGGAATAATTTTAACAGCTGCCGGACGAGTGGCTTAGAAATGACAGCAGTCTGAAATTGGTTGCTGTTTTTTCATCTCTTCCTCTAGAATATTATTACAACTAATTTTTTGGGAGTTTTTAACCATACTATTACCAAAAAACCCTGTGCTCCGATGTTCCTCTAAAAATTAAAATAAATTCTAGGTGTGTTCTTAGATAAAACTTCTATCGATGCTATGGCCTTTATTCTGTAAAAAAAACATTCTTAAAGAATCCACCCAAATGATTCTCAAATTATTATTATTCCCAAACTATAAAAGTGTTCCTACGATAATGAACCAGGATGATCCAAAAAAAAACTCTTTTTAAACTAAAATAAAGAATATTCTTAAAAATCCACCAAAACTCTACACAATATTACAAAAAATGTAATCGGAAAATATTCTTAAAACACCCTAAAAAGCTCAAAAATATTCTCAATCTTTCTCAAAAAACAATATTTAAAAGAAGTTATACTTAAAAAAAAAAATAATAAAAAAATATTCTCCAAAACACAAGAGAATTCTTCAAAAAAAAAAAAAAAAACCGCATTTAATTTTTTTTTTAATCCCTCAAACGATATTTTAATAGCTCCTAACCGAATCCCAAAAATATTTTCAATAAGCATCTAAAATATATTTTCTGTTGCAGAACTGCAGGGTAACATATTTTTATTTCATAATGAACAGAACATTAAACAGTGCAATAAAATTGTGATGTGATGAACCTTAAAAACATTTTGACAACAAGTTCTCATTTGTAACCAAAATAATATTTTCTAAAACTTCTTAAAAAATATTACTCACGTTATTTTAAAAATTATTTTTTACAAATCCTTCAAAAAAATGTTAAATACTTCACGACAATCCTAAAAAATCCACAATAATCATTTAGAATATGTGTTCTGTTCCAGAATTACAAGAATGTAAGATTTTTACTAGGATAGCATATTTTTACTTCACATATCGAACAAATTGCAAAACTATTAGACTATTGCAGGATTTTGAACAGAGCAATATTTTTGAAAATTCATGAGAATCTGAAATGAAATCGCGTGCTTTTAAAATATTACAAAATCTACAAAAATCTATCCTTAAAAAATACCAAAATCCTTCAAAAAATATTCCTCTATTGTTCTGAAAACGTATTAAAAAATCAAACAGTGTGTTTCAAATAATATCCTTAAAAATATTTTTTTAAGATATTTGATTTAAAAATGATGTTCCTTAAAAAAATATGAAAAAAATTCAAGTGTAAATATTAAAAAAAATCCAAGTGTTAATATTCAAAAATCGGTTAGCAAAGTATTAGCTATGGTCCTTAAAAAAGCTTAAACTGTCTGCGATTATATTAAAAAAATATTAATTAAAATGTCAGTATGATCCACAAAAACAATATAAGAAAAAAATAGTCTCTAAGAAAACGAGTATTTAAAAAACAAAAACTACAACCCTTTAAAATTATTTTGAGAACAACCATCAAGAAATAGCTCATGATAATCCTAAAAACATTTTCAGAGATCCTTAAACAAATAATCTTAATTAAAAAAACTTCTTATTCAATTCGCGATAGTGATTAAAATATAATCGAGAATGATCTACAAAAAATATTCTTTAAAAATCACGATGGTTTTTAAACATATTCAAAAACTTAAAGATGACGCTTGAAAAATATGCAATGATTCTTTAACAAATATACTCAAAAAATATTCAATGTTCCTTTAAAAACATGTTTTTAAAAAATTACAAACACATTTTAAGAAAATCCTTAAAGATTTCTTTAAATGTCTAGAATGATTAGTAAAACAGATTCATGAAAAATGCCATGAGGTTTTCTTTAAAATCTTCTTAAAAATCAATCGGAGACTATTATCTTCAAAATCAGAAAATATTCTTAAAATACCAGAATTGTGTTCCATTATACCCCACTCCTTCAACAATTTTTTTTTATTTTTTCACAAATATTTTTCAAAAATCTACAAAAATATTTTCAAAAAATCAAGTGATCTTAAATATACACTAAGATCAACTAGTCCTAAAAATATTTTTTTTACAAAAAAACACAATTTATTTCTAACAGCCACAACGTTACTTATTCACGTCCATTGTACTTTTATTCGCAAATAAAAAAAATAAATTTTTACACCACCGTTTTCTTTAGAACATTTTTCTGTTAAAACAGAGATAAACAAAACACATGTATGTACATTGCTGAGAAAACTAGCACACCACTATTACTGCATCCTGTTACCGATATTGAATTTAGCTTACCAAAAACTCAGTCGTGAAAATATATTTGCTGAACAATAAGGATTTTTTGGTCTTGAGATTTTTTTGCGCGTTCTATTCATACTTGTTGTTATTCAATAATTATTTTTTGACCAATACTATTACTATATACAAATGTCTGCCGAGCCAACGAACTTGCTGTAAACAGCTAAAAACGAAAACTGAACTGAACTGAATAGTGAAAACAAAACGCTAAACACATGCTAGCCAGCCTTTGTGCTCTCTCTGTCTTATCATAGACAAAAAGAAAGGCGTGTTGCCACCGATTCTTTTTAATAATACCAGACGAAAGCAGCTAGCAGCATGTTGGGAACACATACATATGTATATGGCATGAATGGTTGCTAAGAAAGCGTCGAATTTCTGGCAACCTTCTGGCATGTGTACAAAGGCATCAGTAAACATATCAACATTTAAAAAATCAAGATGTTGATATTGGTTGATAAATTCAAATGTTTATTTCGCAGCTTAATTAAAATTGTTCGTTAATTAACATTCAATGTCAAAATAATTGCCAGTCTTTAAGATATGTTTTATTTATGTTTTATTAATCTTGTCTTTCCGTTTTGAACTCCTCGAAATAATCACAATTGACACATTATGCGTACATTATACGTTTCGCCATATTCCATATATGTATGCAATATTTCCAACGAGTTTATAAACTTGAATTTTTTTTATTTGTTATCGACATTAACTTTAAAACTTTTTCCAACATATGTAATTGGGTATTTCAATCTGTAAAAAGTTATACGCATTGGCAGATCCCCCAAAAAACGGCACATACCAACTTTCTTCAAAATCCACCAAAACTCTACACAATATTACAATATTTTCACTATGATCTTCAAAAAATGTAATCGGAAAATATTCTTAAAACACCCTAAAAAGCTCAAAAATATTCTCAAAAAATCACAATGATCTTTTACCGAAAAATAATACTAATAAATCCATGATGATCTTTAAAAGAAGTTTTGCTTAAAAAAATACTAAAAAAATATTCTCCAAGAACATAAGAGAATTCTTCAGAAAAAAAATTCTCACGGCACTTACATTTACACTTACAGAACTGTAAAACTTTTTCTAGGATAACATATTTTTAGTTCATGATGAACAGAACATATAACAGGGCAATAAAATTGTATGTGATGATCCTTAAAAGCATTTTGACAACAAGTTCTCATTGGCAAAAAAAAAACAAGTAAGCAAAGGCTACAGTCGAGCGGGGCCGACCGTTGAATACCCTACAACACTATAATAAACGATACAGTTTATATAGGCGAGATACTCGAAAGAATTCCACAAGATATTGTGACAAATAATAAAAGAAAACCATCAGGTTTCGTTCTCTAATTTTCGAATAATAGCAACTTAAACTAATTTGCTCATTTCCAATTTATTGGTAGATGTTGCACGTAAATGGTCTTCCTAGATCTGGAACCAATATTTCCCAAAGACCTATAACCTATCAGAAGTGGCAAAAGATTAACATTAATTATTGGTTTTTGACTGAAACGCATCTATATGAGATACCGACATTTGACTATATTCTTCAACGAAATCAGCGTTAACGAAATAGTCGGAAGTGCGTCTTTCCTGTATTTGTGAATTCTCCAAAAAATCACTGGAATGGACATTTTTGTATTTTGTCTATAAAAGTTGGCAAACTCCTTCACACATTGAATATTTTTGGATGGCCCTCCGAAACTGCTTGGCTTATGCAATGTGCGGTAACCCCCATTCAAATGTGCGTGAGGATCTGGCGATAATTACGACCTCCCGACAATTTTGCAGTTTTTTTGGTCCATTTCAACCCCTAAATATATGGCGATCATCTTCAAAAAAAATAGGCTTCTATTCTGACCCTCATCTTATCCCCATGCAAAATTTCGTAAGGATCGGGCCATAAATGAGATCTGTATATGATATCCCCATATCCTAACTACTTAGTTTTGTTAGCTGTAGAAATATTACCAAATGTTTAATTCAAAATGAAAATATGCCAAAAATATGACAAATTTGAAAAAATATGAGAAAATTTTACAAAATCAATATTTTCATCTTTAGAGTGATATTTTTATGCGATTTTTTTAGACGTTTTTTCTTTCCTGCCAAGAGGCCATTCTGAATTAATGAGAACTGTCGAAATCAGTTCAGCCGTTCTCCACATATAAGAGATCTTTCAAGCATATCTTCTTTGATAGACTTATATATCGCACATATTTTGCTATATACCCGATTTGTTGGATAATAACATCAATGTAAAGGTCAGAAGTAACCTTGTGATGGCTTTGTGATTTCGCCAGGATTTAAAATATTCACGGTTTAATGAAAAATTTTGATTTTTTTCAACACAAAAGATATGGTCTATTTTATCCGCTAAATATTATCCGATGACCACCCAAATTAGTAGGCTTCTTCCCCGCCCTAAACTCTATCTACACGCGAAATTTCGCGTCGATTGGTCTATAATTGGGACCTGTATAGCTACTGCAAAATCCGAATTTTTTTCAGTATTTGGTCCATTTCAACCCCTAAACATTTGGCGATCATCTCCAAAAGCAATAGGGTTCTATTCTGGTCCAAACCCCACCTACATTCTAAATTTCGTGAAGATCGGGCCATAATTGCGACCTGTAGAGTGATTACAAATTAACATGGACAGACGGACAGACGGACATACATAGCTAGATCGACTCAGCTTAACTCAAACTTATAATACCCCTAACACATAGTGTTGTAGGGTATAAAAATGTTATCTAAAACTTCTTCTTAAAAAATATTACTCATGTCATTTAAATTTTTTTTTCAAATCCTTCAAAAAAATTTAAATTCTTCACGATAATCCTAAAAAATCCTCAATAATCATTTAAAATATGTGTACTGTTCCAGAATTACAAGAATGTAAGATTTTTACTAGGATAGCATATTTTTACTTCACATATCGAACAAATTGCAAAACTAGTAGACTATTGCAGGATCTTGAACAGAGCAATATTCTTGAAAATTCATGAGAATCAGAAATGAAATCTCCTGCTTATAAAATATTACAAAATCTACAAAAATCTATCCTTAAAAAATACCAAAAATCCTTCAAAAAATATTCCTCTATTGTTCTGAAAATATATTAAAAAATCACACACGGTGTTTCAAAAAATATCCTTAAAAATATTTTTTTAAAGAAATTTGATTTAAAAATGATGTTCCTTAAAAAAATATGAAAAATTCACAAACATATTTTTAAAAAATTTAAGTGTATTAAAAAAATCCAAGTATTATTGTTCAAAGAACGGTCAGCAAAGTATTAACTAAGGTCCTTAAAAAAGCTTAAATAAATGTCAGTATGATCCACAAAAACAATATAAGAAAAAAAATAGTCTCTAAGAAAACGAGGATTTAAAAAAAAACTACAACCCTGTTATGGCCTTTAAGAAATATTCTGTAAAAAAAAACACTCTTAAAGAATCCACCCAAATGATTCTCAAATAAATTTATTCCGAAACTAAAAAAGTTAGCGACGAAATTAAATTAGTCGCTGAGTCCGACCGATATATAACAATTTTGCCAACCTTTACTTATTGTTTATATCAAAATATTGGGTTTCCGAGGTAGAAATTTTTGTCGGTAACTCAAACAAGTAAAAAAAAAAAACATTAAGTTCTGCCGGACCGAACTTTTAATACCCTCCAAAAGTATATGAATTCAAGCATGTTTTACTTTAAACTTCATAAAACGGGAACCTCTACAGGTAATTTTATACTTCAAGGATTATCATATATCAAATATTCTAAAATACCAAATTTGAAACAATTGTGTGGGTAAATGCGACTAGAATTATCCAAATACCGAATATCGGTGAGTATAGGATGTGCGCTTTAGGAAAACGTGGAACTAAATATTCAATGTTCTGCCACCGGGCTAGAACCCATTATGAACTGCAAATACAAATTTTTAGAAAAATCCGTGAAAAAAATTTGGCAAAAATAATTAAAATACTGAATATCGGGAGGTACCGTTATATGGGGACTATACCAAAACGTGGACCTAGACCTTCAATGTTTCGTCACACGAGCTAGAACCCATTATGACCTACATATACCAATTTTTAGACAAATCCGTGGAAAAAATGTGGCGAAAATTATCAAAATACCTAATATCGGGAGGTACCGTTATATGGGGACCATACCAAAACGTGGACCGATATATCTCATTTTCAATACCAACCATCCTAGACATAATACAAATTGTTCTGCCAAACTTTGAAGATCAAATAATGTGGGCTGTATCGTGATTTTAACAGACAGACGGACGGACATCGTTAAATTTACTTAGAATTTTATGGTGATTATGAATATACATACTTTATGGGGTCTACGAAGACAAGGTGGACGGTATAAAAATATTGGGTGTAGGTTCTATACCAAGTGCGGAATAATATCACGACATTAACCTTCATTCTTATGAATTTGATCTTCAATCAACACGATTTTATATTTAATACTATCCCGCATATTTCTTTTCAATACGTATTTATCTCCATCCTTTGGAATAAAACCTTAATAAATAAATTTTGGGACAAAGGTTACCTTTAATTTTTTTTTTCAAAATGTTCTTTGTTAGTTATGCACCAATTAAAGTGAAACGACGACGAAAGCAACAATAAGCGTTGCTCTGTTGTATGCGTTTAATTTCACCCCACTGTAAGTTGACATTGTTGTCAAGTAAGCGTTGCCAACTAGATAGCCATGAAAAACCGTTGCTATAGAAATATTGAAAACATACTTTTTTGCGGCATCAAATCCATTATAAGCATTGCTCGAAACATATTCGATAAAAACATTAACAGTTGAAAGAAATAAAATAAATTGAATTAAAAATAATGAAATTTATTCCATTACACACAACAAATACGGCCATTGTCTACAAGAATTCAATATGTTCGGCGGCAACAATGTTGGTGTTGACCTTTTTTGCACTGTCTGTTTTGGTGCCTCTATTAATGGTCTCTTTGCTGAGTCCCTATTCCGGCATTGCTGAGTCACGGATCCTATATGAGCAACCCAAAGTGCAATTTCAATTTAAATCGATATTTTACGGTGATGTGAAAATGAATGGCAATGACTTGATTGTGTGCAGCACATTTCCACAATTGAATGATGCAATTAATCATAGAACTAATACAGATTATTGTGATGGCACTAAGGTAAAACACATCAGTGTCCATTAGAATATTATTATATTTGTTTACTTTTCTAATTCTAGTACTGGACTGAAGATCTGGATAATGATGGCACACTGGATCGTGTGCATTTTGTACAACAACTTGAAACATTGGAGGAAAAGTTATTGGGCTTTGATGTGGCTTTATTTTTCGATGCATTTCTGAAGGTAAGTATTTCAAAATAAGTAGAACACTTTAGATGTTCGAAAGTTTAAACTATTTTTTGTAATTTTTTTTTCAGCACAAATGTCATCTATCTCCGCCGGCCGTTCTCATCAAACATATCAACATACCCTACGATGCACAATTATCCAGTGGCATTGTTAATATTCGTGCAGATTTGGTTCTTAAACAATATGTAGAATTTACCTGCCCATTCCCTGGACGTAATGTAAAAACGTCCTTTCGTCATTTAAATGTGCCAAGTAATTCATCCAATATTAAACAATTCGGCATTGAACCATTGTTAGATCAGCTAAAATCTAACCCGGCATTCTTTGAATTGGATATTCAAGAAACCTATTTTCGTAGAGGACCTCCAGAGCAGGGCTTAAGCATACAATTGGATGTGGATGTATTACAATTGGCGGCTAGATATCATTTAAGTATTTGGGAGCGTTTGGGACAATTTTGGTTATATTTCGCTTCATTTTTTGGCATTTCCTTTTACATTATGAATAAGCTGAAGGATTTTTTGTTTGGTCATCATATTGTACGTTCCTGGGAGATAATACCATGGAAGAAACTATACTGACAAAGAAATGGCGAGCGCATCTATGTGGATGACTATTCGGAGACAAGTGTTTTCTAAATAATAAAAAAAATGTTATTTAAAAACAATTTTTAGAATTTTGCAATGTTATAAAGTCGGTACAATGCCCTTGCTTCATAGGTTATAGATTAACAATTGTTAATATTAAAACAGTTTTTTCCACATCTTCTGCATATAATCCGAAAATTCATGTTGTTGTATTGAAGACTAAATCTAATTTATTTTATTAACAAAAATAAATTCAACCTTTTACTCTACATTTCTTTCTGTCTTCTTTTTTTGGGCACTACACAGAGTGAGATGAAAAATCTGCAACCAACTTCAGACTGCTGTCATTTCTAAGCCACTCGTCCGATAGCTGTTAAAATTATTCCAGTGACAGTTCATTATATTGTTTGCAAGCGTACAAAAGCTGTTTGGTGAGAATTTTCCAGAGAAAAAGTTATTCGTGATGGAATTCAAGTGTGAAAGTGTGATTTCTTCATATTTGGCTGGAAAACCACAAGTGGCTATCGTTAGAGCACTCCAGCATTTTAATGTGAATAAATCTTTTGTGTCTCGTACCCTCGCTAGTTACCGTGATACTGGTATCGTAGCACGACGCGAAGGAAGTGGACGGAAGAAAACCGCAACATCAGCAGAAATGGTTCATAAAGTAAAAAAAGCGACTTGATCGAAAGCCGCGTCGCAGTGACCGAAAAATGGCTCGTGAGCTGAACATATCGCAATATTCCATTCGGCAAATATTGAAAAATGAGCTCGGGGTAAAGCCATTGAAATTCCAAAAAGTGCAAGAACTTACACCGCAACAGAAAGAAAATAGACTCAAAAGAGCTACAGAGTTTATTCGCTTGGCCGAAAGATGTGAACTGCTGAATTTGGTTTTCTCCGATGAGAAAACACTCGTTGTCCAGCAGTTTGTAAACAAACAAAATAATCGTGTATACGTCCCAAAGAGGACAGCTGAAAATGTGCACCTTCGGTTGGCCACCAGAACTCGACCATGGGATCAGAATATGAGGTTGGCGCTAAAAAATACCAAAGTGTTGATCACTTCAAGCAAGCGCTTCGCCGGGTCAAAATACCGCTAGCAACAGTCGCGCAGCGTGCGACGGTTTTATTTGCCGTTTGAAGACCATAATTCGTGCCAAAGGTGACCAATTCGAACAAATCTAAAATTTGATGCTATTTCTGCTATTTTCATTCAATAAAATTAAAAAAATGTAAAAATTATGGTGTTTGACTTTGTTGCAGTAGTTTATCTCACCCTGTATTTTCTATTTAATTTCGTCAAATTTTGGTATATTTAGTTCTTATTATGTAGACACGCTACTAGTAAAAATGATTAATATAGGGACACATTTTGTTACAGACCTTATTAAGGAAAGCCCCTGAAAGAACTTATTTTCCAATCTTTTTTTCTAAAAACAAATCTTCAAAGAAATTGTAAGGGAATATAACAACTAATTCGGTCGATTTCCCTGTAATACGTTGTCTGTCCTATTTACTTACAATTTTCATAAAAAAAGAAAAACACCCAGCTTGAATTTGTTTTATAATTTTTTTTACAGATTTTGTTTATTGCACAAAATACAATATACATTTGATTTGTGGTTGTTTGTGGTTTGATTCTTTATATATAGACAATAATATATAGATATGCTCATCGTATAATTAATTGTTATAAATCTAATTTGAGTAGATTTTCTTTTCATATTGAGAGATAATTATCAGAAGAAAAAAATATTATCGCCCGAAGTCATTATTATCGCACACGAAATCAACGTAGACATTTTAAATCCAACATTATAAATAAAATATGTGTGTATTTATGTATATATTTGGATGTGCCTTTCTAGAAAATATGACAAATATAAACAGTTGATTTTGTTGTGTGTTCAATTTTTGTTGTTTTATTAAAGCTACTTAATTGGTAAAAAAGTTAAATAATAAAATTACTTAAAAATATAAATATATATTTATGCATAGGTTCTTAAAGCTATTTATAAAATAACAATATAAAATAGTTTTGTTTAGGATTCTTTTTTTGTGTTGTGTATGTGTGTGGGGGGAAGTGGGTAGTAAAGGTTGTTTGGAGAGTATGATTTTGTTTCTATACAATTTTGTTGTTTAAAAACTAAAATAACAAATTTACATAAAAGTAAAAAAGGAGGTAAGAGGGGTTATATGGTTGTGGGAATTAACAAAAATTAAATATGATGTAAAATGAAAAAGGCAAATAATTGTATAGTTTTTTTTGGGGGGGGAGGGTTCGGGGTTTGTAAAGAAAAGTAATAAAAAAATATCCAATAAATGAGAGCTCAACAAAAACGCAAGCTATTTTTTCTATTTGTTTGTGGTATATTAAACTATATTGCTTATATGAAAAATACATTTTATGTTTTCAATAATTTTGTGGGGAAGGCGGGTAAAGGAATTGCTTTTTGTTTTGTATTTACATTTGTTTATCTTACAACTAATAATAATAATTTGTATATTATTTGTTTTTTAAATACATTATAAAAGAATTGAATTAAATAAATTACATTCGTATATTTTGAAGTCTTAGGAATACAGGTTTATATATTCAGTTTTATATTCTTTATTTTTTTGGGGGGAAGTTTATTGATTTTTTTCATTTTGTTGAGTAAAAAATATACACAGTTTGGGAAGTTATATGAGGGATTTGATTTTTTTTTGTAATTTTTGTTTCTTTTTTGCATTTGTTTAATTATATAGTTTAGTTTAGAGAACAAATTTACATAACCTAAAATTTAATATTTTCAATATAAGGCACAAGATTTTTTTTGTTTTTATACTAAAAACAATACATTACAGCAGTTTCAATTTGTACAGAGAAAAAATAGTATTATAAAGGATTCAAGGCATGGCTAATTTAGAATATAGGCATTTGTTTTAGAACTATTCCAGCTATGCTTCCTTTCAGTATTTTTTTTTGTTCGTTTTATGGTTTATATACGGAAAAATTTACATTTTTCTAAAGGCCTCATACAGATTGTAGCAAAGTGAAAGTTTTTCAATTCCTTTACTACATTCCGTAGGGTATATGCTTAAGCAAGCGTTTATATTTATATACAACTGCTGTTGATGTTTCATTTTGTAATTGCAAATAAATTTAATTCTTTTTTTCAGGGGTTTTCCTTTTCTTTTTTGTGAGGGGGAGGGGAATTTCTATATCTTTAGCTTTTAGCTTATATAATAATCTCTGGCTTTATTTGTTTATATATATTGTTTGTAAAATAACATTACTATTTGTTGTTACACACTATCCATCTCTAGATCTCTTTCTCTCGTTCTCGCTTTTGTGTAGTTATGATTGAACCAATTCCGTTGTCATTTTTCTACGCAAAAGTATTCCAGTAACAAATACCACAATCCATTGGATAGTTTGTGTACGAGTACGAGCGTGTGGAGCACATACCTGTGCCGCAAAACAGTTTGCAATTTCTCCATTATGAACACTTGTTGGTTGGCTCCTCACACTTCAACACCATAAGTACGATCGACTACATATTCAAAACGTTGTTTATCGGCATCGCTGCTGCTATTATTACCATCTTGATCTTTGGTGTTTTGCTTTTCTGTTGATGTTGTTGTTGTTGCATTGCTAGTTGATGTTGTTGTTCTATTACAAGTTTCAGCTAGCAATTTATTGGTGGCATTTTTAGTTGCCGCTTGTCTTCGACTGCTGGCGCCACCAATGTGATTCTCATTGAGATTCTTGTTTCTTATGCTACTGGCTACGAGAGCCGTATTAATGGCAATTGCTGTTTCGGCTGCATTATCATCGTCTTCATCATCATCATCTTCTTCTTCGTTGTAATCGTTTTGGTTTTCTGGTAAATCTTCAACTTCCTCTTCTTCTTCGATGGGATCGGCCTCGGATAGCATAAAATCAGTAGGCAGTTCTGGTACCGATAATCCTTTGCGAGTGAAAAATGAAATTTTCTCTCTGTAACAAAAAAAGAAGAGAAAATGGATTAATACATGAAAGTCTGATAAATTGTTAAATAAGGATCTAAAAATTTATTTTTCCAATTTTGTGTTAATATTCCTTTCAGAGCTTAATAAACATAATTATAAAATATAATTTTAGAAAATACTTAAAAGAAAACAAGTAAAAAGCATTAAGTTCGGCTGGGCCGAACTTCTAATTCCCTCCAACTTTATGACCCACAAACACCAATTGTTAGACATATTCGTGGGAAAATGTGGCAAAAACTATCAAAATACCGAATATCGGGAGGTACCGCTATATGGGGCTATACAAAAACGTGTACCTATACATACAATGTTTCGCCAACGGAGCTAGAACCCATTAGGACCCACAAATATCAATTCTTAACCAAATCCGCGTGCGAGTCCATGGTCCGATATATCTCATATTCAATACCAACCATCCTAGACACAATACAAATTGATCTGTTAAATTTTGACGCTCTACGTCAAATAATGTGGGTTGTATCATGATTTCAACAGACAGACGGACATCGTTAAATCGACTTAGAATTTTATGCTGTTTATGAAAATATATACTTTATGGGGTCTACGACGAATATTTAGGGATGTTGCAAACGGAATGGTGGAAGGTATAAAAATAAGATTTATTTGTAATTTATTTACAAAATGTATGTAGTTTCCAAGTTACAATGGTAATTTTTAGTTTTCATTAATTCTATAAAGTTTACCTTTAAAGGTAAACATTTAAGTGTAAAGGTACCCATTTAAGTATAGCATTCTAGGGACAACGACCGAAACATGCTTTGAAAACAAATTGAGATAAATTGAAAATGATCCCTTCCACAAGCTCATTTAAGCCTACAATCGCAAGAAGATGTTACATTTTGGAAGTGTGATTGGGAAGTGGAAATGCTTTGAATCAAAGCTTAAAAGTATATAAACGTTTGTATGTACTCCACGACAATGTTAGTTTTATCATTGCAAATATTTAGTCCATGGGATACAGGCTTAAATACTAACTAAAGACAGTCACATAAAGGTGAGTTAGATTTAAATAATCGGGGGTGTTGTGCCAGCAATACCATGAGTATAAGCCTCACCGTAAAATTAGGTATTGTGACAAAATTTTGATCGTTTGTAAAGGCTAAAATTTATTTTTGAGCCTATGGTTGATGGGGTATTCTTATTTGATATGCCAATGATATTGGATTGCTTCAATTTTAACTATACTCACTTGAATGACACTAAATCTGGGCAACCCTTTGGTACTTTTGTTTTGCGCAGTTTATAGATTTTCTTTGTGGTTTTCATGAGCAGCTTTTGCAATTGCTTTTCTTCCGGGCACTTATTGGGATCGGCACGTTCAACCAGACGTTGGAATTCCTCATTTTCAATGGCCCAGGCAGCAATTAAGGGATCTTTGTTATCGCGGGCCTTTTCCAAACTGTAACAAAACAGAATATAATTAATATCGCATTCTCAACAACAAATGCATTTATTGCTCAGCTTACGCTTCTTTTAAATTCTGCAATTTAGCGATTTGATCATTAAGGAAATCTAATTTGCTATGCTGGGCCTGCAGATCTAGTTCCAGGTCCAAACTGGTGCGTGGTATGTGAGTATGATTTAATTCTAAAGGAATAAGAAAAAATCCAAAATTAATTCTTCTTTTCATAAAAATTATAAAAATAAAAGTCCGTACTTGTGGCAGTTTTGGGAGCCTTCGTGTGAAATCTCAAAGATCTCCTTTCAACAGCTCCACGATGGAAAGGATGTGGCGTGACACCAAAGTGCATGGCAGAATCGGAATCGCTGCGATTCAAACGGCAAATATAACGACTTTTGCCTACTGCCGCTGATGGTGTGAAGGTTTGTGACCTTTTAACGGGTCTATCATCGGCCGCTTGCTGGGCCTGTTGGGAGCGAGATTTTTCTGGCGGGAAGGCACATTCGGTATTGGTTTCCTTATCAACATATTCTTGTTTCATGTTGTCCATATAGGCATCTAACATTTTCTTGGTTAAATCTGAAACAAAAAAAGTAAATATTTGAGTTATTTTTACACACATAAATATCTCTCTCCCTATAGACATACCACTTCCAATTGCTCCCTCCAGCTCTTCATCGTCCTCCTCTTCTTCCTCCTCTTCTTCTTCATCGTCATCATCATCCTCCTCCTCCTCTTCGTCTTCATCGTCCAAGCCGAGATTTTCCCTTAAATCTTCAGCAATTTGGGCTTGCATTTCAAAGGGAGGAGCCTGATTGCGGGTTAGTGTTGAAGTTTGCGAGGATGTTATGGTAGATTCATCTGAAGATTCTTCTTTACACGATGTGGCATGGGTGGTGGTGTTTGACGAGCTGCCGCTTACCGTGCTGCTATGTTGATGATGATTTACCGCCGCTGCCGCTGCCACTGCAGCTGCACTTGTGGATGGCATATCAATGGGTTCAAAGGTGGGCATGAATTTTGAACTCAAAACATTGTACCATTTAAGAGTGGAATCATCCGGATTGAATTCAGCCATACTAATTTGCACAGTGCCCTTTGAAAAAGAAAACCAACATTTTTAGAAATAGAAATTTTACTCTCATTTAAGATGGAAGGTATAAACTTACAATAATCTCTTCTTTTTGGCCAGTCATGCTGACCACAGTGACATGCAGACTTTTGGTGCAAAGTTTTCCTAATGAAATCGGTACTGCAAATGTATCATTGAATACGGGTTTATGGAAGTCTGACATGGCTTTTGTGCGTATCGATGTCAGGGAATTGGGCAGTAAGGCGGCACGTAGATATCTATGGAGGAACAAAAACCAAAATCAATAATTAACAATATTTTATATTTCAGTTTAACGGTTGCAACTTACACTTGCGAGTTCTCCGTTGATGCCGACCATAGCGCAGATAAATTGTTGGCACGTTCCAATGACACCACCAGCACACCCTCCTTCTTCAGATATTTCAAACCAATCTGAACCTGGGCCAATTCCTTGCGTGGCAAATGTGCTCTGGAGGCTTCAAACACACCCGAATCTCCGGCCACCGATTCATTGCTTACCGCCGCCGATACGGAGCGTGTATTCGATGTTGACGATGAACGACTTAGCATTTCTTGTGGCAAATCCAAGAGTGAAGGCTTCTCCGAAATGGGCGATAGTGGGGCACCCAAATTCAGGGGCGCTGACATATTCAGCTTCTGTAATCTGGCCTCCAGCATCATACAATCCAAAACAGTCGAATCCAAATCATAGGGATTTGTCTGCTGTCGGCTACCACCCGGACTGGGCTGTTGTTGATACAACGATTGCAAGACAGCTCCAGCATTGGCATAGGTTGGCTCTTCCTTGAGCAAATGCTGTTGTGAGCCATTTTGTTCTGAGGCGGGATTGTATTTCATGGGAGATGCGGGTGGTGTTTCCATCGAGAGACTGCTACGCGGAGACAAGGAGATTTCGGATGAGGGCTGTTGCTGCAACTGGGGATGATGACCGAGTACAACATGTTCGTTGGGCGTTTGTTGCAAAGCTTGCACCTGTTGGTGTTGTTGTTGCTGCTGGAATAGACGCTGCGAACGACGATGCAAATCCACCAGATCTATCTGGGGATCTACGGTGAAAGGATCCAAATAGATGTCCGTAAAACTGAGAGCACTTTTACTACTCGCCGTAGATAGGGAGCCCAGACTGGAACCACTGCTAATGGAGAATGTACTTTCCGATGAGAAGGATTTCAGACGTTCCTCCAACATTTTTGTGGACTTCAAAGCCTCTTGCAATTTATCCAACAACAGTTGTTTCTCTTCATGAAAACGCAGGCGGTTATTGATTTGTTGATTGGTAGCTTCATAAGCCTCTTTCAAATCCTCTTCCAGTTTTCTTCGTGTCTCCTGTATAATGTGGATTTCTTCGGGTGTTCGAGATTTCAAAGAGATACTGTTCAATTCATTCAAGAGTTTCTCTTTTTCTTGTATCAAGAGAATGCGATCCTTGTCCGACTCCAGCTGGCCGGGTTCAATGCGTTCCACATGATCGGCAAGTTGTTGTTGCAGCCGTCGTATGTGCTTACGCCATTCGGCGTATTGCAATTTGGTTTTGGCCATTTCAGCAAATCGAGCTCCACTATTGAGATTATCACCCGGCCCGCACAGATCTGTTTGTGAAGCCACACACACCCGATCAAAGGGTGAGGAGACATTCAGCAATTCGGCATTCTCCTCACTGATCTGTTGACGACTTAGCTCGTTTTTGATTTGTACCAGGCTTCGTATCAATTCCTCGCGTACCTTTTCGCCCGACAACAACGACTTGTGAACCTTGAGCATTTCCTCTCGTATGGCTTGAACTTCGGCAATGTCGTAGCAACCATTTTGCCGAGCATTGATCTTTTCCCCAACCGAGTAGAGGGTGTTCATGCCACGTTGCGTGTACGAGATATCGCTCGTAATGTGGTTAAGTTCATGTTTCAGTTGACAGACACGCTCCTTAGCCAATTTCAAGTCGGCTCGCAGCAGTTCGGGATCGTGTCGGCTCATTGATGATGTGGAAGAGCATACTGCAAGTGAAGAGGGAGAGCAGAAAAAGGTGGATGATTTGATTAGTTTTTATTATGATTTTGGAAAATTTTGGAAAAATTAAGACTAGAAAATTCAACGAGAAATTTGGATTTTTTAGGAAAAAGTGCAACAATTCATAGATTTTAAGACAAAAAATTTAACAACTTTCTGACATGAAAAAACCCGTAGATTTCTGACGCGGTAAAGGTCCTGTGCTGATGCACAATAATTTGAATGTGGATATTAGAATTTTTGTGGATTTACCCAATATTTGTCTCGGTTTTTAGAAAAAATCAACTTTTACTTACAACTACTTCTGCTGGCAGCCAATTTATTCAAGTTGTTGTATTCCTCTTGGGCTATCAGCAAACGTTGTTGTTTAATGTCATACATTTCCCGCTTGTTCTCCAACTGATCCTGGGCAGCCGAGAGATAGTCCCTCAGCATTTGTTCCTGTACACTCTTCCATTCTTGGCGAGGATCTTCCAACTGGGTGGTCTGGGCTATGTGATTGATATAATAACGGCCGATATTCGGATCGTAAGCTTCTTCCCAGCCAATGGGTAACTCATCGCCCACACAATCCTCAAACGATTGGGGTTTTGTGTATCTACAAATAAACAAGAAAGAAAGGAAATTGTTATTAAAATTTATTAAAAACAACGAAAGTTATTTCACATTTTTTGGTTATTTAAGAGGGAGAGAGAGAGAGAAGAGTCATTAAAATATTTCCGGTTCAATAAAGGAGAAAAAAAAATAAATAAAAAATTGAGTTTTATTTTTTGATTTTATATTGGTAAGTTTTTATGTATGTCTAAAAATATCAAAACTTGTTTGCTGGTCCAAACTTATGCATAAATTAATTTATTTCCAGTATGTCACTGATTAAGACAATCAGACTATGCCAAAATAATAAAAAAAAATAAAAAACGTCAAGCAGTTGAGCAGCCAGCCAGCCAGCCAACCGGCCATCAGCGGAAATGTCATTTAGCAAAGATTATTATTTATCAGCAGCAGCATCATTTAAGGAAAAAATGAGAAATAATATGATATACAAAGATGTTTTTATTTATTTTTTGTTTTAATTTTAGTTAATGAAACACAAACACACGCTTTTACTCCTCAATGGAAATTCCATAATTTCACTTTATACATATTTTTTATGGCTTCAAATTGCAGATAAGCGAATTTCAATGTCTTCCCCATGTTGCTGCTTTATTTAGCATTAATTTCGCCAAAAGAAAAAAATAAATAAAAGCAAAAATGCTTTTGATAAGATTAACAATTCAAATTCATTGTAGTCTCATAAAAATTCCTGCCATTTCCTTCATTTTTTGTTGTTGCTTGAAATGATAAATATTTTCTTATTTCATGAAGTTGCTCCCTCTATAGTTGAGGTAAACAGTATTACACTAGATTGTGGTGTTGTTGTTAGTTTGTTTTATTTTGCATTTGAAATAAATTAAATATTTATTTAACATTTTTTCTATACAAGCCACAAGATAGGGAGAAGCTTTAGATATCTACATAGGCAAATTTCTGTGAATTTTATCAGAAATAGAAATGTTAATATTTGCAGCAACATTCCAAAGGGATGTAGAGAGACTTAAGTGATTGTTGCTGGCATGTGCTGGATGACTTTCGAAGAAAGTTATGTGAAGAATTAGTTTTATCAGTTTCCAAAGCCTCCATAAGTTCAGAACGACAATGGAGTATAAACTAATTGGTCGAAGCCTAGAAATTTCAGAAAATCCCAAAAGCGTGTTAAATTTGCTTCTAAATTGTCGTAGCATCATTCTTTTTTGAGGAAGTTTTGAGGGGAATATCTCATGTTGAAGACTTTACGAAGGGTTTAATATATTCAAGTCCATAAAGGCTATGATAGTGTGTTAGATTATCACTGTGGCCATCTACTCTATGGTAGATGACATCTGTGGCCGGCAGATGATCCCTGTGACCATCTAATATGTGGTATATGACCCCTGTGGCAATATACGCTGTGATAGATGACCCCTGTGTGAATGTACTCTGTGATAGACCCCTGTGGACGTTAACAGGGTGAGATGAAAAAACTGCAACCAACTTCAGTCTGCTGTAATTTCGAAGCCACTCGTCCAACAGCAGTTAAAATCATTCCAGTGACAGCTCATTATACTTTTATTTGCTTCGCTTGGCCGAAAGTGGTGAACTGCCGAATTTGGTTTTCTCCGATGAGAAAACATTCGTTGTCCAGCAGTTTGTAAACAAACAAAATGATCGTGTTTACTTGCCAGAGGTCAGCTGAAAATGTGTACCTTCGGTTGGTCACCAGAACTTAAGCGCCTGTCATGGTGATGGTGTGGGCCCCCATAACAGCCGATGGTCGCTCTCCGCTCATATTAATCGACCGTGGCATCAAAATAAATACCGATTATTATCGCGAAAATATTTTGAAGGGTGGGTGGGTTTTTCCATCCAATAAGACCTGCAGAAGTCTTCTGCCCTTTGATATGAGTTTTGTATAAACTTCTGCTCTTTTTGAGTCCTACAAGGTTTTTATTAAACATTTCCAAGAATAAAAGACGTCTTAGTTTAACATTTCAACACAAATCTGACTTCTCTACATATATATGTATATACGTAGACATAAAGATCTAGATTTAAGTAAACAAAAAACATCTTGCAATTCTTAGAATTTCTCTATCAAAATATTTTGTTATTTTTTCTTATTCGAAATATGTATTTGTTTATATTGAATGCATATAAATGAGTGTGTATGTATGTATGTAGTCTGTGAAGAGTGGGTGAATTATAAAAAAATGATTTCTTTGTTATTGCTGCTGTTGTTGTTGTTATGAAAATCAAATGGAATTTAAATCTTTTTATGTTTAACACACATTTGAAAATTTATGAATTTTTAAACGTTTTAATTAATTCGTGTTTGCGTGGGCGAGTTAATGTGTGTGTATGCGGATGATTGCGTCTATAGCTTGTGTATCGGCATTTTTGTAGTTTTTGTTTAAAATATTTTTGGGGAATTTTTTTTCAGTATTGTTTTATGGCATGCAGAATGTTTCTCATCTACATCTACGCAATAAGATTTTATTTTGATAAAAAAAATTTCGATTAATAAAAAATATTTTTAAAATATATATTTTAAAATAATTTGAAATTTTAGAATTTTGATTAATAAATAATATATCCAAAAAATTTGAAATTTTATTTTTTTAGAATTTTTCTTAAAATACAAAATTTTGACTTTAAGGTCATTCTTTCTTGGATATAAAAGGTTATAAATAAAAATATATATTGTGTTATTTGGAATTTTGTATTAATTTACATTTCCAATTTATTGAAAAATTATTGACTTTATAAACATCTTTTCCTGGATATGAAAAACATATTTTTTATTAAATAATTCTATTAATTCATATTTAAAGCTTATTGCAAGTTTTTTTTTTTAATTAACAAATTTATTTTCTTTGCCTCGAAAGGCAAACAGACCACTCATCATCCCCCAACATAATAGGTTAGTTGCTTGGCAGATAGGTAGGTAGGTATGTAGACCTAGTTTGTACATACAGACATACTAAATATTTGTCATTCAAGCGTATAAAAGACGTGACATGGTTTCTTATCTGTACTACGGCCCTGTGAGTGTGTACACACATATGTATCACCCTCAAAAATAAAATAGAAATCACAGCCAGCGCAAAATATGTTATTTTTCAGCTAAAGAATATCAATGATTTCTTGTTAAATGTTCAATAAACAAAAACGAACTATTCACATTCCAAAACAAACAAACAGACAGACTGACTGACAAACCAAAAAAGTGACATTTTTAAAGGTGACCTAGTGATTATAATTTGTTTGCATGATATGATACTTTAAATGAATTTTTAATTAATTTTTATATCAAAATTGTGTGTGTGAGTGTTTTTGTATGTCTTCAATATTAAGAGGGTTTATTTTAGAACAGAACTTGTATTCGAAAAACAAAGATTTTATTTAAAACTAATTAATATTTCAATGAGGGAGCCAAAGCAATTTCATGTTGTAAACGGCTGTGGAGGTCAATCGTGCGACATTAATGAGGAAGCATTTTGACATTCTTTGGAAAAAAAAAAATATTAGAAAAAAATCAGAAATCCGACATTTTTAAGGGCTTAATGGTATTGTATTTTTCTCAAGGGACATTGAAAGAAATCAGTTAAATTAAAAAAAAAAAATAAAAAAAATCCAAAGCTTTTTAGAAATCTCTATGAACATATCTTTATTTTCATTCACATATATATTTTTGTGTATTTCGAATTTAAATAAAAAAATTCAAATTTGAAAAAAGGAAAAAAAACTGTCCACCTGTGTGTTATGGCTGCTGACGTTAGATTCCAAGAATTCTTGAAAGCGAAATCAAACAGAAAATGTGTTTAACGAAATTTGAAGATTTTTATAAATAAATCATAAAAACAGACAGCCAAACAAACAACCAGCAAGTCATATAGTCAGCCAGCCAGCCAGTAAACAACATTAGCATGTGCGATAAACACGTTTGAGAAAAATATTTCTGGTATTTCAATATTTTTTTTCTCTCATTTTAATATTCACACTATAATTAGGAAAACAATTTGTTATGGCCAGTGTGGGGTGATCATTTGGTACCCTACATTAATATAAACAAAGTTTTTTTTTAGAAAGAGGAACATTTCTAGAAATGAGCTCTCTTCTAGAGATTGGAGAGGATACTCCTTCCATTGCTAAAAATAAGATTTTTTGAGAAGTTCTTCAATTCGTAGAAGAGATACTGTCCTATGATAATATGAAAAACTCTTGTAATTGTAATAGAGAAATTCTTCTATATTTGTAAAAAAATATTTTTTCTTCAAAGGGAACAGATCTTTAATCCAGAGAAGACGAGCTCTCGTTTTTATATAAGAGATGTTCATCTTTTATAAAAGAGGAACCTGACTTTTATAAAAGAAGAAAAATGGGTCTTGTTTTTAAGAAGAGGAGCTCTTCTTCACATCTCTTTTTCATAGAAAAAAGCTCTTCTTTCTATGGAAAATAAACGTTTCTATTCGTAGAAGAGAATGACTTCTATTCATAGAATAGGAACCCTTTTTTCGTAGAAGAGAATCTATTCTATCCGTAGAAGAGACAATTTTATTACAAGAAGAGCTTTTCTATACATAGAAGAGAAGAGCACTTCTCCATGAATAGAAGAGCTCGTCTTCCATGGATAGAAGAGCTCCTCATCTATGGCTAGAATAACTTTTTCCTTTTATGTATAAAAAATAAAAAGATCTTCTATCCATAGAAGATGAGCTCGTCTATTCATGGAGAAGAGCTCTTCTATCCTGGTAGCGTAGCCCGACGTGAAGGAAGTGGACGGAAGAAAACAGCAACATCAGCAGAAATGATTCGAAATGTAAAGAAGCGACTTGATCAAAACCCGCGTCGCAGTGGCCGAAAAATGACTCGTGAGCTGAACGTATCGCAATATTCCATTCGGCAAATATTGAAAACTGAGCTCGGGGTAAAGCCATTGAAATTCCAAAAAGTGGAAGAACTTACACCGCAACAGAAAGAAAATAGACTCAAAAGAGCTAAAGAGTTGCTTCGCTTGGCCGAAAGTGGTGAACTGCCGAATATGGTTTTTTCACCTTCGGTTAGACACCAGAACTCAAACGCCGGCCACGGTGATGGTGTGGGTCGCCATAGTCGCCCGTTCGACCGTGGCATCAGAATAAATGCCAAATATTATCGCGAAAATACTCGGGAGGGTGTATTAAAGCCTAAGTATAGAAAAGAAGCTCTTCCATTTATAGAACAGAAGAAAAACTTTTCTATTCATAGAGAGAAGAGAAGCTCTTGTATACATACAATAGAAGAGAACAGTTGCTCTTCTATACATAAGGAAGACGAGCCTTTTTATTTATAGAGAATAAGTCCTTCTATTCATAGAAGAGGAACTCTTCTATTTAAAAAACAAAAAAATTCCCTATTCTATTTATAGAAGATCTCTTTCCTAACGACAGCAGACCTCCCGCCATTGACATAAGACCTCCAGTATGTCTCGCTTGTTTTCAATTGACATTCCGATTCGTCAAATATTTCCATTCATTGTGAGCTTTCTAATCAAATTCTTTTCTAATGAATTGCAAAAAAAAAACACTTTATCGCTTATCTTTTGAAGGCAGCGCGAAAAAATTATAGTTAAAAATGGGACAAATTTATACAAAAATATTTTCGAGCTTAATCAAATTATATACACACAGTAAAGGTCGTTTTGTTAATTTAAGTATGGCACAAAATAATCTTATCAAATGTTTTTTTTTTTTTTTTTTGGTTTTTTGTTATGGGAGTGAAATGGTGGGGAGTAAAACACAATAAACAACGTCGAATAAAATAAATGGGCTAAGAATTCGTTGGAAAGAATTTCTTACAAAAACACAAATGTGACAACAATAGAACGTTGACTGATACTGAGGCATTTCCTGTGGGGAGAATACCTTCCGCCGCCACCTTCTTCCTCTTGACAATTGATCTATTGTAAAAAACAAATTACAAAACACCGAGACACACACACACACAAATCAATACATGCCATTGACTCAAATGTTTGTTGTCTTAGGGAGGCATTTTTGTTTCCTATTTCTTTGTTGCTGTTGTTGTTTAAACTCCACTTTAGCCCTACTTTCAGTCTGGTGTAATCTTTCCCCGTTTTGGAATTTGGGTATTTGTTGTTGTGAAAACAAAACGGAAATAACTCTCCATTTGTAGTCGAGTTTTGTGTTTTGTCTACGGTTGCATTTCAAAATACAAAATATTTGCCCATTTTTATATTTCAAACTCTTTCTTTGTCACTTTTTTTGTTTTCTTCTTGGGTTTGATATTAACCCCAAGTCATTGAACTGTTCGACTGTCGATCACCAAAGAGAAAAAAAAATATTAACGTCTTCGTCTGTCGCAATATTGATAGTCGCCATAGTCAGTGGTGGTGTCGTCTGGTTTTTTGGTATTTATTTTTGATTAATAAATTAAATACTCCACTAGAGAAAAAAGAGAGTATTATCAGCAACACCACCACCAACAACAACATTACCTACCGCCACCACCATAACAATTTCTAATAACATGGGGAAGAAAAGCAATTTAAAGCTGTGTCTTGTTATTTTTTTTTTATTTTATTTTTGTTTTGGCATTTTTTAGCCCCCCTCGAAAACAGATAACGCCATTCCTTAGGAATGTGAAGTTTTGTGTTGCCAATGGCTTTTTCTACTTTTTTTCTTCTCTCTATTTTTTTTCTTGTCTCGAAATGTAGGTAGTGTGGTAGATTGGTTGCCTGGCTGGGTTGAATTCTTTTAGTTTTTTTTTTATTTTTTATCTTTTGTTAACTTAAGTAGGTGTCAATTATCACAAGACAAAAAAATGATTGGTGACGACTTAAAGACCATTAGCTGGCAGGTTTCTTTCTCTTCCCGACTGACAATGATGACGACAAATCACATTTCAGCCAAATCATATGGACTTCAAAGTGAACCTGTCCATGGAGAGTATCGAGGAAACAGCATGACACCCACACTATTTAAATAGTAATTTAGACCCAACCGTTTTATTTTCTATGTAGGTGTCAAATTGATCGTCAAAAACAATAATTTGTTATTGAAAAAATTCGATCCAGACAAAAAAACAATATTTTCGAATGTTTCAAAATCAGGTTTATGCCTATGATGACAATAAGGCACGAAGATAAATTAAAGAATTATTCCTATTGTTGGGTTGATAAAATAGCATTCAAAATCGAGACGATTTTAGAGTTTCTATTAGTACCCAGCAGAGGTTTAAAACCTTTATTCGCCGAATAGCCCATTTGTTTTTTCACTCGCAAAAACCAAAAAGAGAAAAACAGTGGAAGCAAGAATACGGTAGATTTTGTGTAGAGAGATAGAAAATACACATACTTTCAAACAAAACAACGGTTTGACAAAAACTAAAAGTGTACTCGAAAAGAGCAGAATTTGCTCGATTTCGAACAAATTTTACTCTCGTTCGAAAACGAGCAAAGCCTACTCACTTTTATTCCTACATTATATTTTTACAAGGCACAAATAAAGTGTGGATTTTAAAGAATAGCTCTCAGAGGTCCTACAGACGTGGTTTTTGAAGAATATTTCTTTAAGACTCTACAGACGTGAATTCTAAAGAACATTTTTTTAAGACCCAACCAACGTGAATTTTTAAGGTATATTTTTCAAGACCCAACAAACTAGGATTTTTCAGGAACATTTTTTCAAGGCCCTACAGACGTGAATTTTAAGGAATATTTTTTTAAGACCTTAAAGAATATTTTTTTTATGACCCAACCTACGTGAATTTTTAAGAATATGATTTTCCAGGACCACAGTCTTTTTTAATTTTCCCCTTTTAAAGTATAGAAATTGACAGAAAAGTAACTATAGAGTGGAGAGTTCTACCCTAGGAGAGTCATATGATGCGGTTGCCGGGTTCTCTGTCTAAAATGTTTGAAGGAGTTTTTGAATTTTGGAACGGACTTGTAAGAAGCTACCAAAAGAAGTAAGATTTGTCCACCCAATGTAGGTCAGAATTCGGAAATGGTGTCGTATAAAATTCAAATCGAAAAATTCTTATATTTATCTAGTTTTGAATACAAAAATAAAAAAGAAAGCCTCCACGAATGTTAGAAAGAAAAAAGCGACACTATAACAACATTTTGAACAGAAGGTTGCAAGATATATCGGAGGAATCTCTAAAATTGTTGACATTTTTCAAATGTTATTTTTCAAAGTTCGTTATTCAAAGCTGCAGAAATATTTTTCACATGCATTGCTAATTGTGAAGCTAAAAATCAATAAAGTCCATGAGGTATTAGAATGAAAAGTGTCTGTGTCATGTGAAACCTTAGAAATGTTCTGATTATTTCTTTTCTACGCTTTGGGGTTTTCTTTCTTATTGTTGTACTTCTTATTGTGTTGGTGTTTTGTGTCGTTTTGTTGATAGCGCGTAACGAACGAAAAATGACCTGTTGGGAAGACTTTGAAAGTTATAAGACTTTCTAAGAGGCCAAAAAGGTTTTGCAAAACATAAATGGTTACAGTGAGGCGATGTGAAAGAAATGAGGAACGATTATTTATTTTATAAATCACCGCAACAGGTAAATAAAAATTTAATTTATAAATCATAAATGTGGAAAAGATGTTTTTTTTTACGAGAACGGGCCATGATAGCCAAAAGTGTATATACTATATATATATTTTTCTATTTTATATTTCAGGACTTCTGCAAAATCTTCACCCTCACCTAAAAGTCTCTTGGAATCTTGAATGCATGGATTATTATAAACTACTGGATATAATCAAGGTATGCTGTTTTTGAACTTATTACATGGTTGCATATCCTCATGTGTGGTCTTAACAAGACCCTCTTTCCTTCCTAGGCTTATATCGCCTTTTGTCCACTGTATATGCTGTACATTTTCTTTGTTTCTACTCTCCCCTCCCCTCATCCAACAAAAAATGTTGACCTTTGTTTGGGTCATTTATCACACAAAGAAACCACCAACAAAGCGATCAACTAATGTCCACTTAATACTTGCATTTAAGTCTTTAAGCCAATTTAAAATAAAAAAAAATGAATGAATACATGCATGAATGACATACAAAATCAAATGACTTAAGTTAAATTTATTTCTTATTGTCCTCCCTCGCCACAAAGAAAGCTTCAAGTACTAAATTGATGCGTTTCATTAGTTAATTACAAATACATATTAAGGATTGCTGTTTTTCTACTAAGAAATTGTTTGTTTTCTCTCGTTTATTAACGACAATTGTTTCATTTTTATTTTCAATTTAAAATTGTTTATTAATCTCTGTAGAGGGAACTCAACGAGGGCAGGTGGAATAAAATAAAAGGAAAACAAATAAAAAATGCTGTAAGTTCGGCCGGGACGAATTTTAAATACCCTCCACCATTTGGAACGAATTTGGCAATTTTCAAAAAAAATATAAAAATACCGAATGTAGCCGTTATATTAGGCAGTGTACGACGACGTGGACCTGCATGGGCATAAGCCATTACAACATACAAATACGAAACTTGAAAAAAAAAAAATCGGTGAATCATGTAGCTAAAATCATCAAGATACCGAATATCAGGAGGTGCCGTTATGTGGGGGCTATACCAAAACGTGGACCTGCACAAACAATTTTCTGTCATAGGCTGTAGTATTCATTACGAATTTCAAATAGAAATTTTGAAACTGTTTCGGTGAATAATGTCGCAAAAATTATCAAAGTACCGAATATCGGGAATTACCGTTATATGGGGGCTATATGAAGATGTGGACTTGCACAAACAATTTTCTGTCATAGGCTGTAGTATTCATTACGAACTTCAAATACCAAATTTGAAACATTTCCCGTTTATAATGTCGCTTAAATCAACAAAATACCGAAAATAGGGAGGTACCGTTATTTGGGGGCTATACCAAAACGTGGACCTACATTGCTCATTTGCAATACCAAAGGTCACCAGACAAAATATACATTTGAGTAAAATTTTATCAACCTACTTCATTTCGTTCGGAATCTAAAGTGATTTTCACAGACGGACGGACATCGCTAAATCGAAATAGAATTTTATGCTGATCAAGAATATATATACTTTATTGGGTCTAAAATGTATATTTCGATGTGTTACAAACGGAATGACAAACTTAATATACCCTCTATACTGTGGTGGAGGGTATACAAATTATAGAAATATTTTATCGCTGATGATGCAGATGTGAATGGGAATGTAAGAGGCAGGTACTTGTGGCGGTATGCACCAGTACATGTGTATAACTGAATACCCAGCGAACATTTTCATTAGATTTTCAAATATTTAAAATTCAAAATATATTGAGCCAAATATAGCAATTTTTCGAGGGATCTAGAAAATTCAAATTTTTTGTAATATTAATTAGGAAAATTTACGGAAATTTGGAAAAAATCCAGAATTTTCAAAAAAGAACTTATGGACGAAAATGCAAAGAATATTTAAAAAAAAACATTGTGATAGATATTTTGAGAAATACAATGATTTGATTCAAATTGCAGGATTTGCAAAAAAATCTGAAATTATCTGAAAACAAATATTCTAAATTTATCACCCTTACAGCCTCCGAATTGTCATGGAATGGTTTTCCTGGACATTATAATATACTACATATAAATATTTGCCATAAATACGAAAACAAAAAAATTACAAATACTCGAAGAATGAATGTGTTTTTTGTTTTGTTTTTTTTATTTAATTTGTTATTGTTCTTATCACATCACATGGAGGCAACCAAAAGTCAAACTGAATGGGATGATTACTGTCGTATAGAATGTTGAACGCTGTCAATATTGACGTCATATCAATAATATTTTGTGTTATAGGAATTTGTGTTTTGTTGTTCTTGTGTGGTGTTTTTAAGTAATCGTGTTCAAGATCACGTCAACATGTCTCGAAATTTTTTTATGGGTAAAGAATTTGTGGAAAAAATATGTGAAAGGGAATGGAATGTTGTTTTTTATATTACATTCTTTTTTATTCATTCTTGTTTTGTAAAATAAAATATTACAATATAATTTATTTAAAAATTCCTCTGTCAAACTTAGTAAGAGCTAAAATTCTTAGAGGGCTTGCGTCATAAAGTTTTAAAAACTGCAAATCATTGTCTTTGTGTTTTGTAGCCAAACATAAATAAAGCACACTCAAGGAAAATGACAATGTTTTTTTTGTTTAATACCCTACTTGAAGTGACATTGACATCGAGATTATATTTGTTACTACCACTCTTATGATGGACATTCATGAAATTAATATAAATATAAAGAATATATAGGAATATTTTCATATCTTAAACATATCCAGAGGACTCTATTTTCTTAAATAAAATGTTTAAAAATATGGCTATGGCCAATTATAAGTCTTTAAACTTTAACTGAGTTGATGGAGCCTGACACTTTGATAGGACAAACAAATATATATAGCAGATATGCACCACATTTTTCTCTTCTCTTCCATTGCTTTTGCTCTCTCTACATCTCTCGTATGAAGGGTATTAATGTGAGTGACTTGGGATAGAAAAGGGGGAAGATTTCAACATACAGGTGAGATGAAACAACTGCAACCAACTTCAGACTGTTGTCATTACTAAGCCACTCGTCCGACAGCTGTTAACATTATTCCTTTTGGTGAGAATTTTCCAGAAAAAAGGTAATCGGGATGGAATTCAAGCGTGATAGTTTGATTTCTTTATATTTGGCTGGAAAACCACAAGTGGCTATCGTTAGAGCACTCCAGCATTTAAATGTGAATAAATCTTTTGTGTCTCATACCTTCGCTCGTTACCGTGATACTGGTAGCGTAGCCCGACGTCAAGGAAGTGGACGGAAGAAAAAGAAAAGTAAAGATGTGGCTTGATCGAAACCCGCGTGGCAGTGGCCGAAAAATGGCTCATGAAGGGAACATATCGCAATAGTCCATTCAGCAAATGAGCTCGGCGTAAAGCCGTTGAAATTCCAAAAAGTGCAAAAACTTACACCGCAACTGGAAAAAATAGACTCAAAAGAGCTCAAGAGTTGCTTCGATTAGCCGAATTTGGTTTTCTCCGATGAGAAAACATTCGTTGTCCAGCAGTTTGTAAACAAACAAAATGATGGTGTTTACTTGCCAAAGAGGTCAGCTTTGGTTGGCCCCAAGAACTAAAGCGCCGGGCATGGTGATGGTGTGGGCCGCTCTCCGCTCGTATTAATCGACCGTGGCATCAGAATAAATGCCGAATATTATCGCGAAAATATTCTGAAGGGTGTATTAAAACCTTGGGCACGCCAACATTTTGGTCGCAGACCTTGGACATTCCAACAGAACTCAGCACAATCGCACTCAGCACGCGCCACCCAAGAATGGTTACAAAATGAGGTTCCTCGCTTCATTTCCAGCGCACAATGGTTACAAAATGAGGTTCCTCGCTTCATTTCCAGCGCACAATGGCCACCAAAATCTCCGGATACCAATCCTTGGACTATTGTGTCTGGAGTATTTTGGAAAGGTTGGCACTAAAAAATACCGAAGTGCCGATCACCTCAAGCAAGCGCTTCGCCGGGAATGGGCCAAAATACCGCAGAACAACATTCGGGCAGCGTGTAACGGTTTCATTGGCCGTTTGAAGGCCATAATTCGTGCTAAACATATTCTAAAATTCGATGCTATTTCCGACATTTTTAGCTTTCATTCAATAAAATTTAATAAAAATTATGGCGTTTGACTTTGTTGCAGATTTTTTTTTCATCTCATCCTGTATACATGTCCACGATATCGTATAACCCCCATATAACGGTATCCTCCGATGGAATTGTCTTAAAATCCACAAAGAAGTGTATAACACCCTGGAAAATAATTTTCTATATAGATCCACGATATCATATATCCCATATATGACGGTTTCTCCCGATATTCGGTATTTTGATGATTTTTGCGACGTTATTCACCAAAATTGTTTCAAATTTCGTATATAAAGTTCGGAACAGTTACTACAGCCTATGACATAAACTAGTTATGCAGGACCAGGTATTGCCCCCATATAACGGGTTTTATTAGAGCGGTATTATCCGTCGGATTTTTTTTTTTTGAAATTTTTTAAGTTTCTTCTTTGTAAAATGTTCGGCTTGGCCGAACTTAGCTGCTTTTTTACTTGCTATGAACTATTTTTAGCTCTATTTCCATTAATCGTCTTTTTTTATAAAAAAAATATGAAGCAAAAATTCCTTCTCTCTATGGAACTTTTAAAAATTGCAAGATAGTAAGGTACATTATAACAAAACGCCTCCTACTAATTTTTTTGTACATGTAAATTTTTGTTCAAATTGGCATTAATAAATAAACAATGTCAATTTTTGTTGCACATATTTTACAGAACAACAACGCTGGAAAATACTACAACTACAAATAATACTACAAAAAGTACTCTGCTCTCTTCTCACAATGTGTAATGAGAGCAGTTCAGTACAGATTTGCAATGTAGTGGTAAGTAGAACTGTATTGTATGTATCTGCATGCATATTACACTCTCATAAATTTACATAAAAATGCATATCAGTATATTCAATATTTTATTTTTTTTTTGAATTTTTTGTTCATCAGATAATTGGATGAATGATTTTGTATAAAGAAGAGGACATAACGATTGGCATACTTGGCTACCTTTCATGAATATTTCAAAAATTCATATAATAAATTGTTTGAGTCCATCTCTCACTATATGCCGCATGTAGAGTGCACACAATTCAAGCTCGAATGAAAAAAAATAAATAAATAAACTTACAATTCGTTTGCTCTGGTATGTGAAGGTCGCAACAGTTGTTTTGTTAATGACAGTGTATGGACGGACGGACGGATGGATGGCTGACTTGTTGTATAGATGGATGGATGGATAGATGTCTGAGAGAATAAGCGAGGGTAGAGCATCAAGTATACATACATATATGAAAAACAGAAAAAAAATAAAATAAAAATATTCATATTGATTGTTATTCAGTCAACTAGCCAACCAGCCAGTTCGTACGCAACTCATACGTACAATAAGAACATAATAATAAATTTGTTTTAAAGATTTTTTGTTATTATTGAGATTGTGAGAGCACATAAAAAAAACTGAATTGCATACCTCTATAGGTATGTGTGTGTGCCCATAAAACATTGTTAAGTAGATTTTGTGATTGTTTATTTTTACGAATAATAAATTCATAATCTGTTATAAGGCGAAAATAAATTTGAGTTGCAATCTGGGTCCCATATTGGTGACATATCATATAATTTGGGACCCTACAATTGGGCCAATAAGGGAGAATGTTGCGTCATGTCACCTTTTTTATTGAAAAGTCATAAAATTAAAAAAAATAATTTAATTTCTATTAATTACAGATGGCGCCCTACCTACTAAATTAAAGTTTTCCCTGGTCAATTTACTTAGATAGTTAGTTCTACTAGTCACATTCTTAATTGGTTTCACTACATGTATTACTGGGATAGGAAAAGTCAAATGGGTGGCGCCCAACCGATAAAAAATTATCTTTTCCCTGTAAAATGTGCTAAAAAGCTAATATTTAGGGAGGTGATCTAAACGCTTTGTTTCTCCCCTGTATTCCATGTTCAATTGGATCTCAGTAGGTTGAATATAATTCCAGAATATGAAAAATAAATGGGGACCATAATATCAACATTTTGAATAAATCGGTGTGGCGCCCAACGGGTAAAAATATATTTATCCATGCAAATGCTTTAAAGAGCTAATATTTGGGGAGGTTATCTGGACCACTGTCCTCCTCACCTGTCCCCATTGCTATTGAGTCTCAAGGACCAAAAATGCTACAGTATCAAGTAGGTTACTTTTAATGCGACATTTTTAATTACACTCCATACTTATATTGTCAGAATGTGAATAGTAAATAGAAACCATTATATTTACATTTCGCATAATTAGGGATGGCGCCCCACAAGCAAAGAATAAACTTTTCCAAGAAAAATGTGCTAAAGAACTATATTTTGGAAGGGGGTCCGGACCACCGTCATCCTTGCAATTGGACCTCAGAGCCAATAATGTCTCAATATTAAGTTGGTTTTTTTTATCACATTTTTCACATATATTATTACAGGGCATTAAAAAAATATCAACCATTATGCAAATTTTTCCTTAATTGGGAGTGGCGCCCAATGGATAATGCAGAAGGTAGTTTGTTTACATTACCTTTTAATGGGACATTCGGCTCATACCGATCCCAACTTTACAGATCCCAACCATGTTTATTGTTAACATATAAAAATTAGGAATGGGCTAGACCAAATATTCTCTTCTTGAATTGGAGAAAAATCAACACTTGTGATATTTTGATAAACCTATACTTTTTTATCTGGTAATAAATCCACATATCTTGGCAATATATTTACGGCAAATTAATTTAAGCATGGCTGGAAAACGTCTTGGAGGAGTCCTTCGATATCGCTTACAAAAGAAAAGAGAGAAATGAACTCCTCTACTGCTCTCCATTTCTTTGTTCAAAATGTGTTTTGACATATGCCTGTCAGATTTTCTTGTCGTTTTTATAGTCATCATGTTTTTTTTTTTTTTTTTTTTTTTGTATGCAGCTCTTTTGAGGGGCTTGATTCTCAACTCATCATCATCTTTGTCATCATTATCAGGCCTAGTAAAATGGCAGAACCAACTCCATCATGCATACACAGATGGAGTTCATTCTTCTTGTCGTTTCTCTGCTTGGAGTACACTGTCATATCTCCCCTGGCATGTACGAATATATATAAAATATGTATACATGTGTGTATGTATGAAGGCATATGCCATGTTGGCTTGTTCTACTTGCAAGTTTTTCTATTCGCCCCGACTCCCCCTTTACACCATTCTATGTGCTGTTAACATATCTAATTGCTATTCGTGCGCTGGTTCGAACCGCTGTCGCTGTTATTCTGCAATTCTTGTGCATTTTTTAAGCCGGTTTATGTGCTATTCTTGTTCATTTTTTTTCTGTTCAAGTACCATATTTACTATTTGGTATCTATTGAGTATTCTTGTTATTTTTCTTACGTAGTTGTTTTTGTTGGTGTTGATTTTTCTTCATTCTGATGACGACGATGACGACGACAATGGTGATGGCAATGGCGATGTTGATGTTGTTGATGGAAAAAGAACGTTTCCTTTGATGTCATCTAAGAAAAATCTTGTCATTTTTACAAGACTGCAGCACCAATAGAACCAATAACAGCACCAACAATAATAGCATATCATGATGTTGTCATTTTATTTTATAGCAGTTTTTTACCATATCGAGAAATATTTATTTATCCTTTTCATTTCAAAGAACAGCAAAAACATGACAATGATATTTAGAGACAAAAGGTTATTTACATTGATTTATTTTTGTGTGTGGAATTTAAAGGTCTAGTGGGGAGGGGGGAAATATAACATCCATATACAAAAAATCCGTATTGAATTTGGTTTCCATACATACAATTTCTATTTAAAAAAAATCCCGAAACTCCTTTTTTTCAGAAAAAAATACCAGAAAGCAGTTCGATGTTTTCATGCGGAACCTCAGTTCGGAGTTTATTTTCTGTAAAGTTCGGGGGTTTTTCTGTAGAAAAAATTCGCTAAACCTCTGTTTGGATATTTTTTTCTGTAGAAAGGAAACCCAGAACCTCAGTTCGGAGTTTTTTCTATAGGAAAAAATCCCGAACCTTAGTATAAAGTTTATTTTACATAAAAACCATCTGTTTAGAGAACTTTTCTACGCAAAAACTCAGATCCACAGTTTGGAAGTTTTTTTTTCTACTATGGACTGTGTTTGAAATATTTCCTCCATAAAATATATTTCCAAAATTTCTTCCTATTCATTAAATAAATGCAATGCGTTTTTTTGTAATATCAGAATCAAGACTCGATAAATGTAAGCTATGTGTGTTTATATTGTATTTTACAGTGGGTATTTGTGCCTGTCATTGGTGAATTTATTTAGGTGGGGTATGTTTGAATAAAACGACGACGGCGACAACAACGACTATGGCAATGGCGGACGACGTTGTGTACATATCGTACAGCAACCTAGCATAGCAGAAATAGCAAAGTTGCTTTTTTGTATAATTTTTTTTTTCATTGTAGAAGAACTTGTCAAAACCACATTCCTTTGCTGATGTCGACGACGACGACGACAATGGTGTTCGAACAGCAACAACCTGAACAGCAGCAGCAACAGAGCACACCAGTCACCAACCATTGATCGTTGCCCATGCTAACTGCAACAGCAACAGCAACAACAACACACAACACAACATCGTTAAATGTAATTACGCGCGAGCTTATTGTAAACAAAAAAATTTTGCTATTACTAGTGCCGCCCGCCTGCCTGTCTCCTGGGCTGCTATTACAAGCGGTGTTGTTGTTGCTGTTTTTGGCTGGTCGATTGGCCGCTTAGTGGTGGCGTTGATTGTGGTGCTGTAATGCTGGTTATTGCTGACTGCTGAGTATGTGCCAAGTTGGAAGTGTTGTCCCATGTTGGCTGACCATTGTGGATACCTGGATATAAGAGCTTGGGTTGACTAGCAAGCCTGCCAGCCAACCAACCTGGTTGAATTTTTTTTCTCGTTATTGTCTTCTAGACCTGCAATTTGATGATGATGATGATGATGATGGTATATTGCCCAGTGATGGCAACATTGTTGCTGCTGGTTGCAACAATCAAGGGGAGGGGTAGTATGAGCTAGAAATCAATTACTTTTTTGGATACCATCGAAATGATTGGTAGAAGGGATTAAGAAGGTTGGAGTTTTCAAAGAAGCCCTTATTTAAGTCACAGTTAAATAGCACAACAGTCTAAGAATCTGGAATTTATTCTATAGAAAAACGCAGAACTGGGGGATGCAAAAAGGAAAAATATGTCAGAAAAATCAGACATACCCGGGGTCTGGTGTTTTTTTTTTATGGAAAAACAACACACACCTGAGGGTCTAGCATTTTTCTGGAGGTTCTGGAGTTTTTTCTGTTGTCATAAACTGAATATAGGGAGGTACCATTAAATGGAAGCTATACCAAAACGTGGACCTGTACAGACAATTTTCTGTCATAGGCTGTAATATCCTTTACGAACTTCAAATACCAAATTTGAAACATTTCTGGTGAATATTGTCGCTAAAATCATCAAAATACCAAATATGGGGGCTATACGAAGACGTGGACCTGTACGGACATTTTTTTGTCTTAGACTTTAGTATCCCTTACGACATTCAAATACCAAATTTGACAAAATTTCGGGGAATAATGTCGCTAAAATCATCAAAATACCGAATGTCGGGAAGTGCCTTTATGTGGGGGCTATACGAAGGCATGGACTTGCACAGACAATTTTCTGTCATAGTCTGTTGTATCCATGCGAACTTCAAATACCAAATTTTAAACAGTTCCGGTTAATAATGTCGCTAAAATCATCAAAATATCGAATATCGGGAAGTGCCCTTATGTGGGGCTATACGTAGGCGTGAACCTGCACGGACAATTTTCTATCATAGGCTGTAGTATCCATTACGAACTTCAAATGCCAAATTTAAAACATTTCCGTTTGAATAATGTCATTTAAATCACCAAAATACCAAATAGAATCAATACTAAAAGTCCTGCAGGCATAATATGCATTTTATTAAAATGTTGTGATTTCCGCAGACGAATGGGCATCGCTAAATCGACATAGAGCTTTGTTCTGATAAAGAATATATATTTACTTTGTGGAGTCTAAAATGTATATTTCGAGGTGTTGCAAACGGAATGACTAACTTAATATACCCTCCATACTCCATGGGTATAAAAATCACACAGACATTTTGAACAAATATGTTAGAAATATTTCAAAATTTCCTCCCACAAATATTTGCTTCGATTTCGTTTTTTTAAATTGAAATATTATTATCAATAATAATTTGGGCAATCAAGTCTCCTCACATTCTTCTGGTAGGAGTCACGGACGAGCTGCATGTTTGTTTCTGTAATCCGCTTTACAGATAAGACAACATTCCTTTATAGAAACTCTACACCAAAAACCAAAAAAAAAAAAAAAAAAAAAAAAACATTCAACCATTTTTTTTCTTCAAATTATGAAATGATAATTTATACTTTCATGATAATCCATAAAAACAGACTCCGTAGAAATCACACAAACACTTTATGTGAAATTCGATGAAGATTCGAATGTAAACAAAAATGCCCCAAACAGCCAACCAGCCAACAACAAATAATCCTCTTCACATATTTACAAAAAAACACAAGATTGAAAAAAAAAAAAGAAACACCAATAACCACATCCCAGTAATCGGGTTTGGGGAAGGCATCTGAAGAAGAAGAAGAAAAATAAAATAAACGAAAAAACTTAACCTAAATTATGGGTTTCGGTTGTGTTATTGAAAAGAATTTCAAGAATGCAGTCTTAAAGGCAAACCACATCCATATGCACTCCACTGTCAGGCAACCAAAACATGGTCATTCACTTTGACTCCCCACCTCTCCCTTCCCCAATAAAATGGGAAAAATGCATTCATTCTTTGTCCCAAAGCAACCAACCAACCAAATGAACGAACATATTTTGTTTCGCCCAATGTCCGTCTGTCCATCCGTCCGACCAGACATACATTTGTTGTGTCTGTCCGTAGATCTTTTTCTTCTCCTGGCTGCCATCATTATGGCAGTTCCAATGGTGGTGCATGGTTGATGTTACTTCTGCTTTATTTCATACGATAAACATAAACACAATCCCCCACCAACAACAACAAACACCATCAACCTTATCGTTTTATTGTTTTTTTTTTTGGTTCATTCTTGTATAGGTTTGATCATAAATTTCAAGGGAAAAAAGAAGATCAATCCATATGAAACCCATAACAACACCAAGAAGAACCAGGGCAGAGCAACACCACAAACAGCCACAGTCCATCCACCAGAAGAAATACCCAACCTAAGGAATGTGCCCAAACAGTTTCAAGTTAAACATAAAACCTTAAAGCTTATGTTTCAAACCTAAAATATCTGTTGAAGTTATCAACAGAGTCATAATTATATGACTTTGGGGGCCATGTTGTTTCGAGGGAATGCGATTAAAGCTTCTGCCCAATATGCCCCTCATCACCCCCTCCACGACCCAAAGGCATTTAGTCGTCGATTGGAAATTAAGCTGGCTGGCTGGAACTTACTGTTGTGACTGCTGCTCCTACTCATCCTATACTAGAATTATGAGTAGAAGTCAAGCGTTCAGGCTGTCAAGACAGGCCAGCAGCCTGTCCCACAAATATGCATGTCCACGAACAATATCAGCCTCAACGATACAGCTTAAAGGCCCCAAAACACACAGCAACAACAGCAGCAGCGGAAGATGGAGGGAAAATCTGAAATACCACCACAACACTAACAAAATATGTTTTAAGGCCACACAACACCCAATAGCTATGAAAACATACAGCAACAAAAATGTAATGATAATGAAGAACATGACAAAAAAAAAAAACAAAGATGAAGAAGAAGGTAAAAAATTATGTGCTACTGGATAAAAATCAGAAGATATGTATATTCACATTTGTTAAGAATGCCAGCAAGAAAAAGAAATAGCAAGCACGAAAACTGCACCATAAGATGGGAGAGATATATTTAAGTTTTTCATTTCAGCTGCAACTATTTGAAATATTCATTTTTTTTAAATTAATGCATTTATATTCAAAAAGACCTTTGCATTTTTGAGTTTCCAAAAGATACAAAATAATCTCTCCGTCTCAAAAATAGAGTTATTGTTTTTAAGAACCTAATTCATAACCAATATATTTTGTGAGAGAGAAATATACTCAAAATGGTTTGAATTCTCGCATATATTTTATGAATTTAATCCATGTATAATCAAAAAGTCCTTTAAATATCAGAGAACATAATATAAAAAAGCTACACATACCTTTCTGCCTTTCTCACTCTTCCACGATAACAAAGTTTTTAGTTGTTTACTTTATGAACACAATTCATGAACCAATATATAACGTATATTTTGTGTGAGAGAAGTGGCCTCTCACATTTTTTTTAATTAAGGCATTTATATTGTAAAACTCGTTTAAATCTCTGACCGTTAAATGATTACGATGTTTTTCCTTTTTCTATCTCTTGCATAAGCTGAAATGTCAAATCTTTTAGAGACTCTTTCTCTCTTTCATAAAATACACTTTACGTGTTGGTTATGAATTTGGTTTGTATAGTAAGAACCAAATTCATAAACCAACACCTTATGTGTACCTTTTGAAAGAGAGAAAGATAAAGAGACTCAGTAAGGTTTGTCCTCTTTCTTTTTTATAAAATGAATAAAACATTAAAATATTTAAGAATTCTAAAATTACAAAATAATTTACGCCTTTTCTCGCTCTCTCTCTCTCTCTCTCTCTCTCTTCCCTGGCAAACAAATGAATTTGTGTTTACCAAAATCATTGGAGAAAACCAAATTCGGCAGTTCACCACTTTCGGCCAAGCGAAGCAACTCTTTAGCTCTTTTAAGTCTATTTTGTTTCTGTTGCAGTGTAAGTTCTTGCACTTTTTGGAATTTCAATGGCTTTACCCCGAGCTCATTTTTCAATATTTGCCGAATGGATTATTGCGATATGTTCAGCTCACGAGCCATTATTCGGCCACTGCGACGCGGGTTTCGATCAAGTCACTTCTTTACTTTTCGAACCATTTCTGCTGATGTTGCTGTTTTCTTCCGTCCACTTCCTTGAAGTTGTTGAAACAACTCCTTAAATCTTTTTTATTGTTTCCCAGCTGAGCTGAGAAGCTTACAAAGTATTTGAAGTGAATTATTGCAGACTTCGGAATAATCTCAATGTTTATAGAAAGTAAGTGATGATCAAAAAAAATGACGAAAAATTCTAACAAGTTTTCTGAACTTTGTGGTGGCCCACTGTGAAAAAATGTCTTCGCAAAAAGGATTTAACATTATTTACACTATAATCACAGAAATACATACATTTGTATGCACATACATAATATATGTCCATATAAATATGTGTAGTGCTCCCTCGCAACGAACTTAAAGATTAAATCTATAAAAAATATGCTGCCGGTTTTAAGATCCTACTGTTTCATTTTTTTCCTCTTCGTATGTATTTTTTTCCTTCTTGTCGTAGGATTTTTTTGTGCCATGGCTGAACTATGTAGCAGCTTGCTCCAATATTCACAATGGAAAATATTTCTATAGCTACGCGTGCGTGCAGCATCGAATATTTGCTCCACACAATAACCGCGAAGAAAAAAAAATGAAAAAACCAACAGCCAACATTGTGTTGCACATCTGCTGTTCCTTGGTAACTGCCTTTTAGCGATTTTTCTGAAATTCCAAAAAAAAAATACCAAGGTAACAAGCAAGGGAGTAAGTCGTATGATTCGCCATTCAAAAAGGGACAACAGCGTAAAAGGAGACATGAAAAAAAAATAAAAAAATCAAATACCAAGACCATGAAGTCACAATACGTTACATACATACAAACCTACGCGTACATATTTCTATAATGTTTGTTGCTTGAGGTAACACACCAAGATAAATGTTTTCGGATAGACATTGATGAATCTTTAATAATAACAAAAAAAGCAAGAAAAAATACCTTGATAGGCACCCGTCTGACTGGCGATATGTCTGGTGGTTGTTTGAAGTGAGTGGTGCCTTGACTTGAAATGGATTCCAGTATGGAGCCTCCCCTCCCACAAAAAAAAAAAAAAACAAAAGGAATTTCAAGGATTTTTCTTTTAAGTCAAAATGTTTTTTGATGGCTAACTTGATTGGCTGCCCAAAATTGATGTTGATGTAACATTTGTTGGCATTGTTGTTGCACGTGTATTACAATAAAAACGTGATGGATAATGTAACTATGGAAAATTGCATGGTATTTGTTTGGTGACTGCAAGCTATGGAGGTGTTCAATTTAGTCAAAAGTTTGGATACTATTTTATTTCGAAAATTTGTTCTTTCAACATCCTAAACGAGATTTCTATGGGATATTTCTTGCACGTATGATCCATGTTATACAACTTTCTGACAAATCTTACAGATTTCAATTATAATTTTTGATGATATTTCTCATTTTTCTACATATTCGGTTTTTTGATATATTCCAAAAAGTGCAAGAACTTACACTGCAATAGAATGAAAATAGACTCAAAAGAACTAAAGATTTTCTAGCTTGACCGAAAGTGGTGACCTGCCGAATTTGGTTTTCTCCGATGAGAAGGGATTCGTTGTCCAGCAGTTTGTAAACAAATAAAATAATCGTATTTACTTGCCAACGAGGTCAGATGAAAACGTGCACCTTCAGTTGGCCACCAGAACTCAAGCGCCGGCCATGGTGATGGTGTGGGCCGCCATAGCAGCTGATGATCGCTCTCCGCTTGCATTAATCGACCGTGGCATCAGAATAAATGCCGAATATTATCGCGAAAATATTCTGGAGGGTGTCTTAAAGCCTTGGGCACGCAAACATTTTGGGCGCAGACCTTGGACATTCCAACAGGACTCAGCACCATAGTATAGCACGTGCCGCTCAAGAATTGTTACAAAATGAGGTTGCTCGCTGGCCACCAAAATCTCCGGATACTAATCCGTTGGACTATTATGTCTGGAGTATTTTGGTGTCTATCACCACAAGCAAGCGCTTCGCCGGGAATTGGCCAAAATACCGCAGAGCAACATTCGGGCAGTGTGTGACGGTTTCATTGGCCGTTTGAAGGCCATAATTCGTGCCAAAGGAGATCAATTCGAACAAAACTAAACTTATTCCAAAATTTGATGCTATTTCCGATATTTTTGCTTTCATTCAATAAAATTAAAAAAAAAAATGTAAAAATTATGGCGTTTGACTTTGTTGCAGTGTTTTTATCTCACCCTGTATTTATTGTTCTCTTATATTATTTGTTTTTTTTTTTTCAATAATAATAATAATAATAATAATAATAATATATTAAATATATTACATTTCCAATCATACACAACACAATAACGAAATACACAACAAAATATTATAAAAATTCCTTTGCGTATTATTGTGTGCGATGATGATGATGATGATGATGATGATTGTATCTTCTGACAATGATGATAATAATGACGGTAGTGGTGGTGGTGGTAAAACCAAACTCAATTTCCAACTCACGTTTTGTTAAACACCAAAAGAAGACATCCAACCAACCAAACATACCTCGGGGTTTGGTAAGGAGGAAATACACATACACTCACAAAACGTTAAAATCCAAAAACAAATTACACAAAAATTCCATAGCTCTGCTGTTTCAGATAGTGGTGCAACATGCAACAACTTAGCATTGCATACCAACATATGTACATACATTTTATCCCATAATATGTCCACCATCTGTAACTACATGTAAGTGCCCCACTATAAAGTGGTCGTTCGATCATAATTTAGCCACAGTGCTTTGTCAAAAAAACAAAAAAAAAAAATGTTGGCTGGCTGTTTAAATAAATGACAGCTGAATTATTACAACTCGAGTCGATTTGAATTGTTGTACTGTGATATATGTATGTGTGTATTAAGAAGTTTAGAAATTTTTGTCGGGTTTCATGAACATTTGGACAACATAATTTTTGTGTATCAAAAATGGAGGCATTATTTTCCGATCGGACTTAATAGTCAAAAATTGTGATTGCAATTAGTTTGATAATTTGAAATTGAAATCATTGGTATCGTCGGCAGGGCCGAATTTTAAATACCCTCCACTATTTGAAACGAATTTTCCAATTTTCAAAAAAAAAAAAAAAAAAATAAAATAAAATCTGGTAAAAATTCTGTTAAAATCTTAAAAATACGAAATGTAGCTTTTATATTAGGCAACTTTGTTATAGGCAACTTTTCAACTGCGAAAATTGAAAAAAAATCAGTGAATCAAAAAAAAAAATCATCAAAATATTGGGGCTATACGAAAACGTGGACCTGCACAGACAATTTCTGTCATAGGCTGTAGTATTCATTACCAACTCCAAATACCAAATTTTAAGCAATTCCGGTAAATAATGTCGCTAAAATCATCAAAATACCAAATATCGGGAGGTACCGTTATATGGGGGCTATATGATGACGTGGTCCTGTACAGACAATTTTCTCTTATAGACTGTAGTATACATTACGAACATCAAATACCAAATTTGAAACAATTCCAGTGAATAATGTCGCTAAAATTATCAAAATACCGAACATCGGGAAGTACCGCTATATGGTGGATATACGAAAACGTGAACCTGCACAGACCATTTTCGTTCTTAGGCTGTAGCATCCATTACGAACTTCCAATACCGAATTTTAAACAATTCCGGTGAATAATGTCACTAAAATCATCAAAATACCGAATATCTGGAGGTACCGTTATATGGGGCTATACGAAAACGTGGACCTTCACAGACCATTTTCAGTCTTAGGCTGTAGTATTCATTACGAATTTTGAAATATTTCCGGTAAATAATGTCGCTAAAATCATCAAAATAGCGAATATAAGGAGGTACCGTTATAAGGAGGGCACGAACAATTTTCTGTCGAAGTGGATACGAATTTCAAATACCAATTTTGAAACATTTCGGGTGAATAATATCTCTTAAATCACCAAAATATCGAAAATAGGGAGGTACCATTCATTATATGGGGGTTATACCAAAACGTGGAGCTAAA